TAATCAAAACCGTATTTAAATAAGGTCTTTATTGATAGTAACTTAGCAGACAGACCTAACAATACTTAAATGCAATCAACAAATGCAAGTAGTGAACATAAACAGAATAATTTACAAATGAGAATTGTAGTTTACTTTATCAAAAAATATAACTATAATTAACTGTGGTAACCAAATGAGGTAACTTTACCATTGACATGCTTGGTTGCAGAAAAGGCAGCGCATGTACTGCTGAGCCTACAGGGTCAATTCCTTTGCTCCAGAACCACTACATTAACCCCTTAAAACCAGAGGACGTACAATTACGCCCTCTAATAGGCGGCTCTAAACGCCGCCGGGCGTAATTGTACGCCCTCCGGTTTTTGTTAACTTACCCGGTCGCCGGCGGTCCCACGCCGGCGATCGCGGTTGGGGGGACTCCCAGGGAGCCCCCCGCGGCACATCCGTCCTCGTCGAAGCCCCCCGGCCATGTGAGAGTGGGGTCCTAGCGAGGACCCCACAATCACATGACCTGGGATAGCTGGCTTCTGTATTGCCGGCAGGGGGGCTGCCTGTAATGACAGGTGGTCCCCCTGCTGGCTGAAAATAAAATAAAAAAAGTTAATGGTGTAAAAAAAAATAATTATATATACTTAGATCATATATATATATTATATATATATGATCTAAGTATATATATATACACATATACATACACACACATACACCATCTAGGTGTATTTTACTATTAATATATATATAATTATATATATATATTAATATCAAAATTACAACGTAGACTGATACTGATTAAATATATATATAATTATTATTTATATATATATTTATATATAATATAAAAAAATAAAAATGTAAATGCGTTAAAAATAAAATTAAAAAAAATAATTCAAAATAAATGGCATTTCAAAAATATATAGATGTATTATTTATTTCGTTCTAACTGTTTTGTGAAATTATTATATATATATATATCAAAATACACATTAGAAACGAAATAATATATATATCTATATACACATAAATATATACGTATATATCACTATATATATACCTATATATAAATAAAAATATTTTAAAAAATTATATAGATATATACATATATATACACATACGTATATATATACATATATTGATTCTACATATATATTTATGTAATATTTTTACATAATTAGGTATCTTAATTAATTACAATTAGCGGGACCTGCCTGACAGCCCATGCCGAAAGTAAAGGGAATTTAATTTGCTAGCACTATATTTAACCCTATAACTTTCCAAGACACCATAAAACCTGTACATGTGGGGTACTGTTCTACTCGGGAGACTTCGCTGAACACAAATAGTAGTGTTTCAAAACAGTAAAATGTATTTCAACAATGATATCACCAGTAAAAGTGACGTTTTTTGCATTTTCACTTGCCTTTCACAAACGGCATTACCGCGGGACAATATTATTTGCTTTTGTGATACTTTTTACTGTTTTTGAAACACAAATATTTGTGTTCATGTCTAATAGCTATTACTCGTAGCCCAGGAATTTTACTCTTTTTCAAGATTACAGCGTCAAATATAAGGCTTGCATTTTCATTTTTTTCATATTAAAATTCGCCAGATTGGTTAGGTTGCCTTTGAGACCCTATGGTAGCCCAAGATTGAAAATTACACCTATGATGGCATACCATTTGCAATAGTAGACAACCCAAGGTATTGCAAACGGGGTATGTCCAGTCTTTTTTAGTAGCCACTTAGTCACAAACACTGGCCAAAATTGGCATTTTGCATTTTTCACACACAAACAAATACTAACACTAACTTTGGCCAGTGTTTGTGACCAAATGGCTACTAAAAAAGACTGGACATACCCCATTTACCAACTGCAACAGGTTGTCTACAAATAACGCTACCGTATAAGAACAGTAAATTTCATTCCAGGGCTACTATACAGTCTCAAAGGCAACGTAACCAATCTGGCAAATTTCAATTTCAAATGTAACGTGCTATATTTGACCCTGTAACTTCCCAAAACGCCATAAAACCTGTACATAGGGGGTACTGTCTTACACGTGAGACTCTACTGAATATAAATATGTGTATTTTATTGCAGTAAAAGCAAACAGTATTATGACATTGATCGTTAAAATGTCATGTAGAACTAAAAAAATAAAAAAAAAACGTATTTTCTCCCATTTTTTTCATATTAAATTGTTTCATAGCTAAATATTTGATATTAAATGAAAGCCCTGTTTCCCCTGAATAAAATGATATATAATAAGGGTGGGTGCATTTACTATAAAAGAGGTGTATTACGGTTGGACAGACATGTAGCGCAAATGCCAGGTTTTGTTTACATTTTGTTTTGTTCACAATGTGTACATTTGGCTCCGTCCTTAAGGGGTTAAACTGTAGTGGCTCTGGTGCCTAGAGCGCCCCTTTTAAAACTGGTCGTTGGGTATTAAGTGTGGTATGGGATATCTATGTAGTGTGTAGGTTATGCAGTGTGTGTAAGGAACATAGTGTGAGGTGGGATAAGGATGTAGTGTGTATTATTATTATGTTATTTATATAGCGCCCTCAAATTCTGCAGCGCTTTACAATGGGTGGACGAACAGACATATAGTTGTAACCAGACAAGTTGGACACACAGGAACAGAGGGGTTGAGGGCCCTGCTCAATGAGCTTGCATGCTAGAGGGAGTGGGGTAAAATGACACAAAAAGGTAAGGCTAGTATTAGACTAATGACAGTTGCAGAAGAGGAATCAGTCGGGAGCTATTAACAGTTTAATTGATACGCTTTTATGAAGAAGTGGGTTTTTAACGATTTTTTGAAGGAGTGGAGACTGGGTGAGCATCTAATGGAGGAGGGAAGTGAGTTCCACAGGAACGGTGCAGCCCTCGAAAAAATCTTGAAGGCGAGCATCAGAGGTGGGAGTACGGACAGAAGATAGACGTAAGTCTTCAGCAGATCGTAAGGGTCTAGAAGGGACATACTTGTGTATAAGGGAAGATAGATAGGTGGGAGCAGCATTATGTAGAGATTGGAAAGCAAGAACCAGAATTTTAAATTGAGCTCTATATCTTACAGGAAGCCAATGCAGGGACTGACAGAAGGGTGAGGAGTGGGAGGTGCGGGCGGATAGGAAGATGAGCCTCACCCCTGCATTCATTATGGACTGTAATGGCACAAGTTGGGAGCACGTAAGACCACTGAGAAGAGGTTAACAGTAGTCAAGGCAAGAAAGGACAGTGGAATGGACCAGCACCTTAGTCGCATCTGGCGTTAAGTAGAGGCGGATGCGCGCAATGTTTTTGAGATGGAAATGACAGGATTTGGCGATAGACTGAACATGAGGCTTGAAGGAGAGTTCGGAGTCAAAGAGAACACCTAGGCAGCGAGCCTGCGTGGTGGAGCTGATGGTAGCACTGTTGACTTGGAGGGAGACAGACACAGGAGTAACAACACTTGAGGGAGGAAAGACCAGAATTTCAGTTTTGGTCAAGTTTAGTTTAAGGAAGTGGGCAGCCATCCAATTAGAAATAGAGAGGCAGTCAGAGACACTAGTCAAGAGGGACAGGGAGAGATCAGGAGAGGACAGGTAGATTTGCATGTCATCTGCATAGAAATAATATTGGAAGCCAAAGGAGCTAATGAGTTTACCAAGGGAGGCAGTATAGATGGAGAACAGTAGGGGACCAAAGACTGAACCTTGGGGGACACCAACAGAGAGGAGTTGGGGAGAAGAAGTAGAGCCAGAGAAAGAAACACTGAAAGAGCGCTGGGAGAGGTAGGAGGAGCACCAGGAGAGAGCAATATCTTGTAGACCGATATTGCGGAGGATGAGAAGAAGCTGTTGATGATCAACAGTGTCAAAAGCCGCAGACAGGTCAAAGAGAATGAGGATAGAGTAGTGACCATGAGATTTTGCAGCGAGTAGATCATTGGATACTTTGGTCAGTGCGGTTTCCACAGAGTGCTTAGCGCGGAAATCAGACTGAAGCGGGTCTAGCAGAGAGTTGGACTTGAGGAAGTCTGTCAATCTCACATACACAATTCTTTCAAGGATCTTGGATGCAAAAGGCAGTAGCTGGATGGGGAGTAAGGGGCAAGGTTGAGCTTCTTTAGAATTTGTGTTACAGTTGCATGTATTTGTGTAGGTTAAGCAGTCTGTGTAGGGAATATAATGTGGTGCAGGATAGACATGTAGTGTGTGTAGGGAACATGGTGTAGTGCAGGATAGAAATGTAATGTGTAGGTTAGGTAGTGTGTGTGTGTAGGGAACATGGTGTTTTGCAGGATAGAGATGTAGTGTGCAAGTTAGTGTGTGTAGGAAACATGGTGTGGTACAGGATAGAGATGTAGTGTGTAGGGAACATAGTGTGGTGCAAAAGTGATTCCTCCTCCCTTAGTAGTCCTCCCCCTTCCCTATCCCTTAGTAGTCATTCCTCCTCCCTCCCTATGATTCACTCCTCCTCCTTTCCCTGTCCTTTAATAGTCCTCCCCCTTCCCTATCCCTAAGTAGTCATCCTTCCTCCCTTTCCTATCCCTAAGTAGTCATCCGCAGCAGGGCTTTAAAAAAAACTGGCACGGAACTGCATGTCCCGGCCGTAGGGCGATAAGATTTGCGAATCCACGTGTAAAGGTATTATTACAGGCTGGATGGAACGGTGACTTATGTTTGTACCATTCTAACTAGAACATTGTAAAGAACACCCAGTCCCTATGAATGAACCCGATTGAGCGGATTTCCCGCCAGATTACATTGTCGCCACTCAGCATGCTGGCGCTAACTGATCTCCATATTCACTTCTTCCAGAGAGAGCAGTCACAGTGTCAGGCCGGGCATGGGCCATGGTGACAGCCACCCTTGCCACTATCTAGTCACACCACATGCCAGCTCCCCGTGTTAAGGCACATTACAGGTCTTTGTGACAGCCAGGGCTGTCCTGCAGGATGCATTGTGTTCTGGTTGCCCCCTGTCCCCTTATTAAAGACACAATGAGGACCCCCAGGCCTGGGCAGCCCCCATGGCGAGGAGTGCAGAGAGGGGGCGGAGACTGGGTGGCTGTCGGGGGGAAGGCTTTGTACCGGGACACGCCGCCATCACTTCCTCTCCAGCCTTGTCCCCCCTCCCTCCTGCCGCCGCTTCCATCGCAGCCACATGATTTTAATACCTGCACCCTGAAGCAGAGGGGAAGGAAGGATATCCCTAAAACCCCATATACCCCGTGTAGTCCCCGGTCCTCCAGCCGAGGCGCTTCCTTCCTTTCTTCCCTTCTGCTCCCGGGCTAGCACAGGGCGCCCTCTCCTCCTCTCTTTATCCACCTAGGACCCTGCCGAAACGTCGCCATGCCTAACATTGTGCTTTTCAGCGGCAGTTCCCACCAGGACCTCTCCCAGAAGGTGGCAGACCGGCTGGGACTGGAACTGGGCAAGGTGGTCACCAAGAAATTCAGCAACCAGGAGACCAGGTGAGTGAAAGGGTAAGGGGGGACAAGGTGCATGGAAAGCATGTCCTGTGGGTCATGTGTAATGCTGTGTGTTCTCCATGACATCATCACCTCTAATACACACAGAGCAGGGCACATGCTGGTCTATATAACCTTGTAGCAGGGCTGGATTTAGGGGTACTTGTTGCTGGTGACCATGTGTTGTCCTTCCTGGAGAACTGACTTCATGGTTGCGCCGGAGGAGCTTCATTCATAAATATTTCTTACATCACAACGTGGGTTGTCTCCCATTCTTTATATTTTGTTTGTTGTTTAAATATTTTTTTGAATTATAATCAATTTCTCAAAAAAAAAAAAAAACATAGATTAGTATAGTCCATCCTAAAAAAAAAAAAATCACCTGATCGCTCTATGTATACTTTTGATCATGGATAATTAAGGATGTACTTTATCCTCTGACTGATAAAGAAGACTTTCTAGCTCCACTACTACAGTATAGAAAATATTGTCAGCTCTTGTTAATATAGTTATTTGAAATAAATAATAATAAAATATAATTCCTGGCTGAATAAGGATTGGTATTTTAGGTAAGAATATTTTTCTAAAGAAGCTATTTTATTTGTTCGATTGTGCTATTTCCACATGGCATATACAGTTCTGGGTTTCTTGTGTGACCTGTAAATCATTTTTATTCTCTTGTACGTCATACGTTCCCATCTAATCAAATACTCATTTGAATTGTTTTAAAATGCTGTATGTTGGTGAGTTTTGAAGAAGCTATCTGTATTAGTTAATGCTGTGCAGAAGCCATTCAATTTCCCCCTAAACTTAATTATGCAAAGTCTGTATATATAAAAGCTGTCTGTCTGCTCATGCTGTTCAGTGCCTGATTCCTGGCCAAAGCAAGTTAATGCTGGAATTTATCTACTTATATCCCCCACCCCCTTAGGGGATACAGAGAAAAGGCAACTAATGCACATCTCATTTAGCCTTTTTTTTTGTTTTGTTTTTTTTTACTACAAATAAAGTGGGGTTTCAGCTCATTCTCTTCATTTAAATCTTCAACTGTCCTGTATTCCTTGTAAATGTTAAACTATGTAGTGAAAGTCATTTAAGAATGTAGATGTCATTGTGGTACATGAAACATGTATTGCTACAATTATTTAACTCAGCGCACAAGTGCAATACACCTATATTTTATTGTGCAAGGTTAGATACTATCTCACTGCAACTTCAGTGTTGATGTATACATTTGTGTGCAAAAAATAAGCGAGTCTCTCTCTCTTTAGACAAACATTTTAAAACCAATTAAAGTGGCACTGTCATGCCAAACTTGCCTTTAATCGCTTCCACTTCTCTCTCTCTGTCAGGATCTGTTCTTCAATTCTTCCTGACTGCCTAGTTTTCTTTAAAACATAAGACAAAGTAGGGACTACTTTGTCTTATGGAGGTTTCCTACACTTGACCATTTATAACCAGCGGAGGAGCAAAGTGTGGTCCCGTTTCCTGTGGTCAGAGAAATTTTCCACAATTCTCACCCTTTCCTCAGTGTTATCGCGCTGCTTCCTTTTCGTGTTCCCAAATGCTGGCAAAACTACCGATTTTGGCCTAACAGAATGAGAGCAGTTCGTCCATTCGTGACTTTGTTCGGTTCGAAATTTCATTCGAATGAATGAAATTCCGATCCGAATGCGGCTGCAAGTGGGGGCTGTTAAAGTAAACGGGGGACATAGGGTCCCCCTTGGCCCCCACCCATGAGCGGCAAAATAAAAACCCATAATACTTGTTGAACCTTTAAATAAAAATGGACTTTTTTTTATTTAAAAGTTTGGGTATTATGGGTTTTTATTTTGCCTTTTTTGGGGCTGAACAAAGATTTTAGAAAAAAGAAGATATCAAATGCTAAGTTTTTATTTACAGAGATTAAGTTTTCTCGTTCTCCTCCCTCACTATTTTTAGGGTGAGGGGATTAGGTAGGAATTTATTTAATTTTTATTGGATGGGGGGTGACTAGGGGCTTGGGGACCCCTACTTACCGGGGGGGAGGGTTATTTTAGCCCCCACCTGCTGCTCATGGGTGGAAGCAGGGGGAGGACAAATTTTTATATATATATATATATATATATATATATATATATATATATATATATATATATATATATATATATATATATATATATCTATCCAAAGATAGTAGTCCAGGGAGCACACTGGGTCTTGAGATTAGTGAAGAAAAAATACTTTAATGTATCATAAAAAATACATCAACTGTGTATCTTACAGTTGATGTATTTTTTATGATACATTAAAGTATTTTTTCTTCACTAATCTCAAGACCCAGTGTGCTCCCTGGACTACTATTTTTGGATATATATAACGCGGGTTTGCACCTGGGCATTTATATAATGGATATATGGAGGAGGAGTGCCTTGCTTCACTTATTGTTTTGAGATAGATATATATATATATATATATATATATATTTTTTTATATATATATTTTTTTTAATACACAACAGTGAGCAACCACTGGCTGCTCACTGTTTAGTAGACATGCCCCTGCTCACGGCATAGCGAGTAGGGGCATCCAGGAGATTTTAATCTCCCTTATGCTAATATGGGGGTCATATTGACCCCCATAAAGTGAGGAAGGACATGGGGTTAAAAAATCAAAACTGGATTCGGCCATGACAGTGCTGCAACACAGACAAACTTGGTCTATATTTACTAGAACTGTAAAGTGATTGGTACACCTGTTTGGTTCTATGTTAAAAAAAATAAAAAATAATTATATATATATATTTTTTTTTTATTATTATTATTATTATTTAATTCGACCATTGAATAATAGGAGCAACAACGCTGTCATACAGGTTCACAGGAAAACTATGAGAGAGTGGTACATTGTGTTGTAAATGCAAAATAATTTGAGACAGACTGTTGGGCACATGGCTGTTTCATGAGGTCTTAGCTTAAAAGGACACTATAGTCACCCAGACCATTTCAGCTCAATTAAGTGGTCTGGATGCCAGGTCCCCCAGAGTTTAACCCTTCAGATGTAAAACAAAGCAGGATTAATCCAACCTCTAGTGGCTGTCTTCCTGAGAGCCGATAGAGGCGCTTCTGCGAAGCTGGATGCGAAATTCGCATCCACCGTGCAGAACGTCCATAGGAAAGCATTGAGAAATGCTTTCCTATGGACTGTTTGAATGCATGCGCGGCTCTTGCCACGCATGCGCATTCCGCTCCACTCGGGAGCTGACGTCGGCGGGGGAGGAGAGGTCACCCGTGTGAGCCTAGAATATTGCACCTTTTCACAATATTCTAATTTACTGAGATTTTCATGAGCTGTAAGCCATAATCATCGCACTTATGACAAATCACGGCTTGAACTATCTCTTGCTTTGCATGTAATGTGTCTATCTCATATATTAGTTTCCCCTTTTACGTTGCATTACTGAAATAAATGAACTTTTGCACGATATTCTAATATTTTGTGTATCACCTGTATACATCACAAAAATTTTTGATATGTTCCAAAATGTCAACAATGTCTTTGTTCCCTTACCCAAAAAATGTTTATAAAAGTATGTAATTTAAAAAGTGCAGATTGAGTGAGTGATTCTGGTTAAAAGTCTTTTAGCTTAATAGCTCATGTTGGCTACCACAACCAACATTGGTGGTATTAAGCAGTAGACACTGCTTTTGCTTTATAAATGACATATCACAATAGACTTTCAGTTTGTCATTTAATTGTCTTTCACATAGACATAATAGAAATTGCTTGTGTATTGCACCAGGATATTTAATTACATGGTTTGTGGATATGCAGTATTTTAATGCTCTTTAACACCCCTTTGCCATTTTATTTGAGTTAATTCATCAAATGTAAACTACAAATCCTACAAGCTTTGAAGTTAAAATATGAAATTTCTCAGCGACAGCACATAATTTAAAATGAATGTGGCACAATTGAGTACTTTTCAGATTCAACAACCTGCTGCAAAGAATTGAGTGTTTAGTATATAGCAGAAGTTGATATACCCTTTTATTTAGACTTATTTGCATGTTACATATTCATATGCATGTATAATTGGACTTACAAATGAGTGGTTTTCCAGTCTCTTCCCCCCCTCCCCCTTGTTCTTATTAATGCTACCTAGACTCCTACAGTGCTTTATGTGAGATTTCACAGAAATTCCTGATGCTTGAATTCATACATCGCTTGGGAAGTTGTATTCTCCTAACAGCTATCTATCCTGATGCTGTCCCTGCAGTGTTTTAATGTGGAAGAAAATAATTAAGAGTAAGACCGTGCTTGACAAATTTGTTTAGAAACTAAGAGCCAGCTAAAACTTAAAAGCCAGTTTTTTTTTTTCCAAACTAATTTTTAAGTTTAAAGCGGCACTGTCATGCCGAAACTACCTTTCTTTAATCGATTCCTCTTCTCTCCCTCTCTCAGGATCTGTTCTTCATTTCTTCCTGTCTGCTCTAGTTTTCTTTAAACCATAAGACAAATTAGGGACTACTTTGTCTAATTGAGGTTTCCTATGCCTGACCAGCTTTGACCAGCGGAGGAGCAAAGTGTGCTTCATTTCCGCTGGTCAGAGCGGTTTCCCCACAATACTCACCTTTTGATCAGCGAGCACACCCCCCTCCCCCCTTAGGTGAAGGATGGGTTACTTCCCCTTAGGTCCAGTGGTGGCTCAGGCTGGAGGGAGTCAGAGTTCCCACTCTGACTCCCTCTCCTCTCTCCCACACGGGCTCACGCTGATAGCTGGGAGGAGTGACGGGTAGTCCCTTCCTCCCAGCTGTGATATCAATGGCCCCCTGGCAATTCATCTCTATCTGGTGGCCCTAACAGCATGGGCCCCTTGAACATGAGGCCCCGGTTGTTTGCCGCGCAGGCCAGGGCCGCAACACAGGGCGGCCGGGCCCCCTGCGTGATTGGCCTGGTTGCAACTTCGACCCCTGCGACCGTAGTATGTATGCCACTGGGGGGGGGGGGGGGGGGGGGGCAACCTATTGCCTCTTAACTCTCTGGTTGTTTGATTGCAACCAATCAGTGTTGTTATGAGTCAAATTACACAATATAGAACTTTTCCATAGAACTTTTCCACGCTGTGTAAAATGGCACAGAGCACTCTGGTTGGATTTCAAGCCAACTAATTGGAGGGCGTGGGAAGGCTTTATAAGCCTTTCCCCGCCCTGCGGAGCTCAGTCTGCGCCGTGCCCTCCATGGATGAAGATGAATTTTTTTTTTTTTTTTTTTTTATTTATTTTCTTTTGCGTTCAGGTTTTTTTTAATTTTATTTTCAAAGTCCAATAGGTATTTTGGACTTGTATTTGGCCTTTTTGGGGGCTGAAAAAAGAAGACATAAAATGGTAAGTTATTTTTTATTTACAAGGATTTAATTTTGTCTCCTCTCTCTCCCCCCTCACTATTTATTTGGGGTGGGGGCCGGATGGACGAGTACAATAGGTTCTCCCCCCACTCCCTCTTTATTGCCTTATTGTTGTTTAGGTCCCCCACCCGCCACTCAGGGGTGGGGGCCGATGTGGGGAGGACAACTCGCTTTCATGGCACTAAAGGGTCATTAGTTCCCCGCCACCCTCATGGCCCCCCTCCCTCTGGGCTGAAGGGGTTAAAACCCCTTTAGCCACTTTCCTTTCTCCAGCGCCAGGCTCCCTCTGCGCTAGTGACCTCTCCTCCTGCCGACATCCGCCCCGAATGCACGGCAAGAGCTGCGCGCGCATTCAAACAGCCCATAGGAAAGCATTACTCAATGCTTTCATATGGACGTCAGCGTCTTCTCACTGTGATTTTCACAGTGAGAATCGCGGAAGCGGCTGTCAGGGAGTCTGCCACTAGAGGTGGCTTAACCCTCAGTATAAACATAGCAGTTTCTCTGAAACTGCTGTTTTCAGCTGTAGGGTTAAAACTAGAGGGACCTTGCACCCAGATCACCTCATTGAGCTGAAGTGGTCTGGGTGCATATAGTGGTCCTTTTAAGGTGGCTTGCAAGTGCCGTTCCTCCCTGTAACCATCTTCTTCAACTTTCTCTAGTTCGGATCCAGAGAGTAATGCCTGCCGCCAAGTAATGGTGCAGCTGTTTGGTTTAAAGTGGTCAGCTGATGCTCTTAGCCGATCAGTAGCTCCCCATTCCTAAAAATAAAAAGTACCATTCTTATTTTACCCGTTATGTTTACTTTATGAATAAAATATTTAACCCCTTGAGGACTGAGCCAAATGTACACGTTGTGACCGAACAAATCATAAACAAAACCTGGAATTTGCGCGCTATGTCTGTTCAGACGTAATGCACCTTTTTCATATTATGTGCACTTATTCTACAGGGCTTTCATTTAACAACAAATATTTAGCTATGAAACATAATTCAATATAAAAAAATGGGAGAAAATAACTTATTTTTTTTTATTTTAATTTTTTTAGTTCTGCATGGCATTTTAACTGTGAATGTCAAAATACTGTTTCCTTTTACTGCAATAAAATACACATTTGTATTCAGCGATGTCTCATGTGTAAAACAGTACCCCCTATGTACAGGTTTTATGGTGTTTTGGGAAGTTATAGGGTCAAATATAGCATGTTACATTTTTTATTTTTTTTCACATTGAAATTCACCAGATTTGTTACGTTGCCTTTGAGACCATATGGTAGCCCAGGAATGAGAATTACCCCCCTGATGGCATGCCATTTGCCATAGTAGACAGCCCAAGGTATTGCATAGGGATCGACAATATTTATTTTTTAGAGCCGATACTGATCTGTGAACTTTCAGGCCGATAACTTAGATATTCTGTACATTTACCTTTTTGAAAAAATAAACTATTTCTAAAGGTAAATGCACTAAATATACATGCCACGTGTAGTGAATGCAGTGTGTTTGTGTAGTGTGTGTGTGTGTGTATAGTGAATGCAGTGTTTATATAATGTAGTGTGTGTTTCTGTAGGTATGTAATTTGGGGGGAGGGGGCATTTTTATTTTTGTCCCACCACCCCCTCCCTGCTTGTTACTTGGCCAGGGAGGGGGATATAGCATTCCCTGGTGGTCCAGTGGCATGGAAAGTACAGAGAGGGGCCACAGCAAGCGCTTACTTACCTTCCCTTCAGCTCCCTGTGTAAATCTGGTCTCCAGCGGAGCGTTGCCATGGTAACCAGTGGCAAAGCTCTGACGGCCCGGGACTTGCAAGATTTACACAGGGAGCTGCTGGGAAGGTAAGTAAGCACTTGCTGGGACGCCCAGGACCACCTGGCTTGTAATGGGTCCCGTTGTCCTGGTATGTATTATCGGTATCTTTATTGGCCGATACCGATATTGCCGAAAATACCGAATATCGGCCAGACCAATAATCGGTCAATCCCTAGTATTGCAAGTGGAGGGGGGGGAAGAGGTGTATATACTCTGCTTAATTAAAGGGACACTATAGTCACCCAGACCACTTCAGCTCAATGAAGTGGTCTGGGTGCCAGGTCACTCAGGTTTTTAGTAGCCACTTGATCACAAACACTAGCCAAAGTTTGTGTGTCAAAAATGCAGAAAACTAATTTGAACGCCAATTTTGGCCAGTGTTTGTGACTAAGTGGCTACTAAAATAGACTAATTTTCATTCCTGGGCTACCATACGGTCTCAAAGGCAAAATAACCAATCTGGCGAATTTCAATGTGAAAAAAACTGAAACGTAAGCCTTATATTTGACAATGTAACTTTTGAAAACGCCTTAAAACCTGTACCTGAGGGGTACTATTATACTCGGGGGACTTCGCTGAACACAAATATTTGTGTTTCAAAACAGTAAAAAGTATCACAGCAATAATATTGTCAGTGTTAGTTCCGTTTCTGTGTGAAAAATGCAAAAAACTTCACTTTCACTGACGATATCATCGTTGTAATACATTTTACTGTTTTGAAACACTAATGTGTTTCTACGAAGTCTCCCGAGTAAAACAGTACCCCCCCATTCACAGTTTTTATAGTGTCTTGAAAAGTATGTGTGTGTAATTTTTAAAAAAAATTATTTTATTTATTATTTATATATAGGTAAATACAGTGCCTTGCAAAAGTATTCAACCCCCTTGACTTTTTACCTATTTTGTTACATTACAGCCTTAAGTTCAATGTTTTGTTAATCTGAATTGTATGTGATGGATCAGAACACAATAGTCTAAGTTGGTGAAGTGAAATGAGAAAAATATATACATAAAAATATTTTTTAGAAATAGAAAACAGAAAATTGGCATGTGCGTATGTATTCACCCCTTTTGTTATGAAGCCCATAAAAAGCTCTGGTGCAACCAATTACCTTCAGAAGTCCCATAATTAGTGAAATGACGTCCACCTGTGTGCATTCTAAGTGTCACATGATCCGTCATTACATATACACCCCTTTTTTTTTTTTTGAAAGGCCCCAGAGGCTGCAATACCTAAGCAAGAGGCACCACTAACTAAACACTGCCATGAAGACCAAGGAACTCTCCAAACAAGTAAGGGACAATGTTGTTGAGAAGTACAAGTCAGAGTTAGGTTTAAAAAAAAAAATATCCAAATCTTTGATCCAGAGGAGCACCATCAAAACTTTCATAACCAAATGGAAAGAACATGGCACAACAGTAAACCTGCCAAGAGACGGCAGCCCACCAAAACTCACGTACCGGGCAAGGAGGGCATAATTCAGAGAGGCAGCACAGAGACCTCAGGTAACCCTGGAGGAGCTGCAGAGACTGGAGTATCTGTACATAGGACGACAATAAGCGGTATGCTCCATAGAGTTGGGCTTTATGGCAGAGTGGCCAGAAGAAAGCCATTACTTTCAGCAAAAAAACTAAATGCCACGTTTTGAGTTTGCGAAAAGGCATGTGGGAGACTCCCAAAATGTATGGAAGAAGATGCTCTGGTCTGATGAGACTAAAATTGTACTTTTCGGCCATCAAAGAAAACGCTATGTCTGGCACAAACCCAACACATCACATCACCCAAAGAACACCATCCCCACAGTGAAACATGGTGGTGGTAGCATCATGCTGTAGGGATGTTTTTCAGCAGCCAGGACTGGGAAACTGGTCAGAGTTGAGGGAAAGATGGATGGTGCTAAATACAGGGATATTCTTGATCAAAACCTGTACAACTCTGCAAGTGATTTGAGGTTAGGACGAAGGTTCACCTTCCAGCAGGACAATGACCCCAAACACTGCACTGCTAAAACAACACTTGAGTGGTTTAAGGGGAAACGTGTAAATGTGTTGGAATGGCCTAGTTAAAGCCCAGACCTCAATCCAATAGAAAATCTGTTGTCAGACTTAAAGGAACACTATAGTCACCTAAATTACTTTAGCTAAATAAAGCAGTTTTAGTGTATAGATCATTCCTCTGCAATTTCACTGCTCAATTCACTGTCATTTAGGAGTTAAATCACTTTGTTTCTGTTTATGCAGCCCTAGCCACACCTCCCTTGGCTATGATTGACAGAGCTTGCATGAAAAAAAACAACTGGTTTCACTTTCAAACAGATGTAATTTACCTTAAATAATTGTATCTCAATCTCTAAATTGAAATTTAATCACATACAGGAGGCTCTTTCAGGGTCTAGCAAGCTATTGACATAGCAGGGGATAAGAAAATCTTAATTAAACTGAACTTGCAATAAAAGCCTAAATAGGGCTCTCTTTACAGGAAGTGTTTATGAAAGGCTGTGCAAGTCACATGCAGGGAGGTGTGACTAGGGTTCATAAACAAAGGCATTTAACTCCTAAATGGCAGAGGATTGAGCAGTGATGCTGTATGGGGCATGTTCTATACACTAAAACTGCTTCATTAAGCTAAAGTAGTTCAGGTGACTATAGTGTCCCTTTAAAGATTGCTGTTCACAAGCGCAAACCATCCAATTTGAAGGAGCTGGAGCAGTTTTGCAAGGAGAAATAGGCAAAAATTCCAGTGGTAAGATGTGGCAAGTTCATAGAGACTTATCCAAAGCGACTTGGAGCTGTGATTGCCCCAAAAGGTGGCTCTACAAAGTATTGACTTTAGGGGGGTGAATAGTTATGCACATTGACTTTTTCTGTTCTTTTGTCTTAATTGTTTGCTTCACAATAATAATAAAAATAAAAAAAGTGGGAATGTTCTGTAAATTAAATGATGCAAATCCTCAAACAATCCATGTTATTCCAGGTTGTGAGGCAACAAAACACGAAACATGCCAAGGGGGTGAATATTTTTGCAAGGCACTGTATATTGTGATATATATGTATATACTTATGTATATAGATAAATATTATTTCGTTCTACGTTTATTTTTATATCAATATATATTATCAAACTACAGTTAGAACGAAATGACACACATATTTATGTATTTACATTTGTTTTATATAATATAAATATCTAGATTATCAATATAATTCTTCATGTATTTTGAGATATATAATGATCTAAGTATATATACTATTTTAAATTTTACACTGTTTTAATCTTTATTCATTTTACAGGCTGCAGGGGGAGTACCTGTCATTCCAGGCACTCCCCCTGCTGGCATTGCTATGGACGGCTATGCCGTCCATGTGAGCGTGAGGTCCTTGCAAGGATCTTGCGATTACATGGCCCAGAGGGCACAAAATGGAAGCAGGGAGACTTCCTGGGATGTCAGGTGAGTCCACCCACCGTGATTGCCGGCGACCGGGTAAGTACATAGGACATTCATAGAACCCCCGCCATCCTTAAGGGGTTAAATATTGAGAGAAAAAAATATAGAGAAATAAGCAAATATATATATATTTGAAAGAAAAATAGTTTGTTAAAAACTGCATTAATTACCTTTGCAGGGTTATGGGACCTTGGACAGTGCACGCATACTGCTTCATTGAGCTAAAGTGGTCTGGGTGTCTATTGTGTCCCTTTAACATGGGGCATTTTGAGACTTGTCCCTTCATCACAGATGTTTAACAAATCTAATTTATTAGTAACTAATTTTTATTTATTTTGAAAAACGAAGTAATTTAACCATTGTAATAACGGCTTATCAGGCAGTCTAAGGCCGCTAAATATGATCCCAGGTATACACTGATCAGCCACATTATAACCACTAATAGATTAAGTGAATAAGATTGACTATATTGTAACAATAGGACCTTCCAAGGGGTGGGATAGATTAGGCAGCAAGTGACAGTCAGTTTTTGAATTTTTTGTCATGGAAGCGAAAGGATCTCAGTGACTTCCTTTTACATTTATTTTGAATATTTGGCAATTCACTACACATTTCAAATCAGTCAAGGTAAAGCCAGGGCAAACATACCACATGAGCAAGATAAATAGAAAAAAATATTGTTAGCTATATGCTTTCTCTAAACTAACTGCCAGGCGCAAAGGATAGAGCTTATGACACTAATCTACAGGGAGCTAAGATGGAGCACCCAGATGCAGTAAAAAAAAAGGTGTGTGCATTTCGAAGTTTAATCCTACTTTTCAGATCTCACAAATTCTTATTTTATAAATGCAGATTTAAGGAAAAGTATATTTAAAAATGTTTTTTCTCTCTTCTGAGAGAATTTTTTTTTATTGATATAGTTGAATGCTATTGCTTTCTTTCTTTGAAATTCATGCCTACATAATTTTAGTGCAGTTATCCTATCGGCACACATTGAGGAACAGCAGGTGCTTTGTCCTTTTGAGATTCTGAGGATCTGTTTATAAAATTTTGACTTTTTTAATTATTATTTTAATCCACCAGATCACGCTCCTTCTTGTGTTTGGAACTGGTGACTAATCCGCCCTATTCGCGTAATGATTTTAGAATATTTTTTGCACACCAGCATTTCCTTTTCAGCAGGGAATTAGACCATTACGCTTGCACTGAATGGACTGCTGGAATGCTGGCCACTGCTCATGCATGAGTAGCGTTTGCCTTGTTTGTTGTTGTACCGACATCAGAACGTGGTATTTGCCTGTCAAAGCAGAACATGTCACTGTAAAAAAAAAAAAATGTACATTTAAATAAGTATTTCTGACTAGTAGAATCCAGACATTTCTTTTTTTTTTTTTTTAATCTTGTAAAGTTGCTGTCCAGATAGTCTGTGGATATATATCTGCATTTACTTTGTTTCCTCTAAACATATGGTTAATTTGCATTATGGAAGTGTGTGTGTGTGTGTGTGTGTGTGTGTGTGTGTGTATATATATATATATATATATATATACACACTCACACTCTGCGGGGCTCGAAAAATCCCAGGCGCCATGGGATTTTGTTCTAGCGCTTGGGTTTTTGTCGGCCCGTTCCTTCCGAGATGGCCAGCTAACGGAGAATGTAGGCTGCAGCAAGCAATGCAAGCGGGCGGTGAGAGAGCTGTAATCTTCCTGCTGTGTTAAACCCCTTCAGCAACCTGGGATGGGGGGTGGGAGGGAGAGGGGACCTGTAGTGCCAGGAAAACGGTTCGTTTTCCTGGCACAGGTGTGTCCCTTTAAGCTAAAGTTGTTTTGGTGATTATAGTGTCCCTTAAGATTAAAATAATTTGTGTGAGTGTCTGTATGTCACTGTGTCAAATCAGTGAGTGTGTCTATCACAGTGATCACCCCCCTCCGATCGCATGGGACAGGTGTTTTTATTCCCCTTTTTTCCTGCGTGAATCCGGTCTTGCTGTGGCTGGCCCAGCCTGCATGGCTGAGATAATCAGTCTTGGTGATTTCAGCCACACTATTACGCATGTGCGGCAAAACATTGTGTTAAGCCAGTTTGCATCTCCTCATAGAGATGCATTGACTAAATTGGCTTGGAGACGCTGAACGTAGGTGCTACATATTGTGTAGCACTAGACTAAGCAGCACCTCTAGTGGCCATCCGAGAGACTCACTAGAGGTGTTCTTAGACTGCATTGTAAACATTGCCTTCTTTCTGAAAAGGTAGTGCTTTTATTGAAAATCACTAGATCAAGCTGTAGTGGTGCTGGTGAATTGCATTTTTGTCATTGAAAATAAAGTTTTGTTTAAAACAAAGTCTCCTAACTTTTTATTTGGCTCCTAGATTCCAAGCAAATTTGTCAAGCTCTGATATAGCGTGTGGTATGTGCTGAGCAAGCTTGATGTCTAAAGCACAAACCGTAATTCTATGTAGAAAACAAGGGGGAATTTGAACAAGCCAAAAAGTAGATTGATACACAAGTAAACGGGGGGGTAACCCGAAATAGAAACTATATACGTGGAAGAGACGTAGTGTACCAAATAAAGGGGCTGGGATTGGTATCAAATACAGAGGAACTCTTGAATAATCCAGATTAGGAGAATATCATATGTAAAATAAATACATTTTATTGAAAAAAAAAACATTAAAATTGCCAGGTATAAAGGCAAATAAAGTGGTTGAAAAAAACATAAAAAATAGCCCATTGTGAAGGCAAATTAAGTGGTGCTTGTGTACTAAACAAAAGTAAAAAAAAATAAAGATCAAATAGATATGTCAAGTATAGGTATAAATAATCACCCACTAGTATGATTGCTCTATACGTGGTATAAATGAAACCAATTGTACTACCTATTATGGGATTGAAGTTTAGCGTATCACCAAAGTGGAGAATATGAATCTATGCATACGTCTATGCCAAGAATTCTTTCAAATATATCTCAGTATGGTGATGCAAAAGGAGATAGCCCTTAGTACCAGGATAGGTACTGAATAGCCTCTGCAGCGTGTCAAAGGGTAATGTACAGCAAAATAGTTGCAATTAGTCTAACTCCTGTAACATGGCAGGTATAAGCATACAGCTAAAACTCCCTGCCTATTACTGCATCGAAAATATAGACTAATAGGTGAATCGTGTCTTATTAGTGAAAGACAGTTGTTAATATGGTAATACGGTTAGCCTTGCAATATTAGGATCTATAAAGGTCAGTTTAAAAATTAATAATAGTCTAACTGGCTTCTTCCCCCGTGACTTCGAGGACACCTCTAGCTCTTCACGTGCTGTATTAAGAGGGAGGATATAGGAGCTGCGGATATCAGGTCTCTTAGCAGGATAGTGTGCCGGCTCAGAATCGTATTCCTTTGTGCCAGAATATGCTCTGTATAGCTCCTACAGCATCACGTGCCGGAAAGTAGTATATAGTAGCACAGCAGGCATGGACCTGCGAGTAATATCACTTGCATGTTACTATATTAAAAGTTGATAAGCTGCCTGTGATTACATTGAAGGGTAATACCTAGTAATACACTAAGGCTGCTTTGTTTGGCTGGGGTGATTTAGGGGGACTATAGTGTTCCTTTTAATATACTGTTGTAGCAGATGGATTCTTTAAATGCCAGGATCCTAGCCGCAGTGTTTGTTTTCTTAAAACATGTAGTAGGTTTTTATCAATTGCTGTAGACAAAGCTCTGTTGCAATTAGCATTTTCATCACCTCAACTAGTTTCACTTGATATCAGTTTCTAAAGTCAGTCTGTTTTTCAGCTGGGGCAGAACTTTTCCTGTGCTTCATTCCATGGTTGCACATTTTATGTTTTGTCTTAAATTCTAAGTCCTATGTTGTCTGTTACAAAGACAGGTTTGGGCTAACTGACTACTGGAATGGCAATTTTAAAGAAAATGCTTCCTAATATTGGTTCCTGCAGAGTTTGCATCAAACAAGTTTTTAAATGCAGTTGCAGCTATTCTGTCTGCTCTAGCCTCTGCTTCCCAAATACGGCTAAGGAAAGCCTATAGCAGGTAAGGCTGTTGGTTGGTATTGCAATTTTAAAGAATTACTTCTAATATTGATTCCTGCAGAGTCTGCATCAAACAGGTTTTGAAATGCAGTTTGCAGATATTCTTTCTGCTCTAGCCTCTGCTTCCCAATTACGGTTAAGGAAGGCCTGGATCATGGGTATTGTCTTATGCAGACTGTATATCTTTGTAATCAGTCTCGCTTCAGCCAATAAAGATGGTAACCTGCATGAACTAGTCTCCATGGAAAATTATTTCTTCCTCATGTTACTGGGCTTGAAGCAAGTTCTAGTACAGCTGCAGGCCTATTGATCAAGGTGTAGTTCCACCAGGTTCAATTTGTACCCTGCACTGCCATAGATACGGTATGACAGGGATGGCTTACTGCCTAGGTTTGTTTGCCGTTTTTCTTTTACGAAAGAGCTTATGGCAATTGCCACTTAAGTTTCTCTCACTATGCAAAATGTTGCCATCCATAAATTTGTTGAATCTCTACAATACTGCTTCCTCAGGGGCACCTAATGAATTTTTGTACACCAGCCCCTAAAGGTTAGGGTGTTTTTTCTACAGCATACAGGTGGATGCTAATCAATCTTCTGATAAAGAATTCCCTTTACAAGAAGTGTGCAGTTCTGGTGTTTGTCAAGGAACAGTTCAGGTGTAAATATTTTGACAAGAGTTTTTGACTCTCAGAGAATGGTAATTCCCTGAAGAAAAAATGTGTGGTTCTCTCTGTCCTTATCACCTGAAATCTCTCTTCTACTTCAGTAGACAAGATACTAGGGAAATAATATTGGTTCCCGTCTTGTAAGAACCTGTGTGGTCTCTTCAGCTTCTTTAGGCATAGCACTGTTTACAGGTCCTTCAGAGGCCAGATACAGTTGCTGATAAGATTTTGCAGTAAAATCCTATAATTTGGTCATTCCTTTCTGAACCAGGCAGAAATGAAGGATGCTAGACGGTTCTTACTTTTTGTTCTAGTTCTCAAATCGATCGTTCAGAATTTTACGACTGATGCTTCAGGTCTCAGCTAGGTTCTCATAGGGTTGAAGGGAAATAAGCTGAGAGATTTTGAAAAAAACGTATCCAACTACATAGGACCGAAGGCTATCTGGCTAGCTCTCTTTGCTTTTCAGATAAAGACCAGGTATTATCTTGTCCAGATCTGGTCGGATAGTTCTACATCAGTAGCAATTCTGTACAAACAAGGTCGTCTTCTTGTTTAAAAAAAATCTTGTTCTAGGAAATGCTTGGGTTAGTTTTTCTTGGGTCTATTCACTTATGCATAGAACTTAATATTCCTCTGTTTAGCTGTAGCATTGAATAGTCAACATTTAATACAAAGCAGTTTGGTTCGTACTCCCTGATCTTCACCCAAACGATAGGAAGAATTTGATTATCCAGTTATGGAACTGGGACATCTAGATCAAACAGCATGAAGTGTTTCATTGGACAAGCTTGGACAGACCAGTAAGCTTTGGTTTCCTTTTCTTTCTTGGGAATTCCAGTCTAACCTATAGTTTCCTCCTAGTTCCCTATTTCCCAAGATCCTATAGGATGGAAAAGGTGAGAATGATAGTCTTCCTTCCTTGGTGGCAAGTAGCTGTTTCACCGTTCATCTAAAATTATCCCGAGGAATCTTTGGGGACCTTACCTGTAAGTAGGCATCTTGGAATTCTCAAGGGTACCTCTTCTCAACTTTGTAGTAATTCAAGCTGACGACCTGGTTTATGTATACCAGATACGGAAGGCTAATGTTTTGTCTCAGGAAATTGACAATTTCTTTTACTATAAATGGATCTTGTTCCAAGATTTATTCCAAGTATGGAAGGTGTTGTTTTTTTAAGATATTGGTTCAAAGAAAAGCATTGTGGATGGTTTAAAGCTAGAGATCCTCAAGGCCAAATTTTGGTTATCAGTTTATTTTCAGAGGTTTGTCTCCAAATCACAAGTATCTGCTAGTCTCTTTTGTGGTTAGTTCCAGTCTTCAGGGAATCTTTTCCCCAGGGCATCTTCTTTTGGGGTTTTTAACTCTGCTGATTTGAGCCTTCACTCTAGGCCTCTGGGGGTAGTCGCCCAAAATACTTTTGGGAAGAACTTAAAGTTCTTCAGTTTCCATTTTCAGCAGGAGAAAGTGGAGTTAAGTTGGATTCTTTAATTCTTACCAATCTTCCATCTATCATTATTTTTCTAACTTTTCCCAACAGCATTCTAGGGTCTTGGAATTCTAATTCCACTGCCTGGGCGTTTAGTTCTCCTCTACAGTACCTTAAAGGTCTTTATTTGTTTGGGTTTTTTCTTATCGAACACCTATCTCCATTGAAGCTCCTTCTGTCACAGTTATGTTCAGATCGGGTGCCTGAGGGCTTCTGCTATACATTCTCTCGAAATTCCTAACAGCCACGAGGTGATCTCTTCACTCAATTTGGTCTGTTGATCTTGGAAAATACAACTTTGGTCGCAGGTTTTTTGCAGTGAGAATGGAGTCCCACCCTAAGGGATTGCTTTGGATATCCCAGTTGTAAAGCACTGCCTCTAATATGAAGGGAAAATCAAAAATTTTTACTTACCGTAAATTTCTTTTTCCAGAAGATTAGAGGCAGTGCTCACCCCCCAAATTTTTTAATAGTCTGAGTGGTACGGTTATTCAGCTTTTGTAATTTCTGGGGATGTCTTGAGTAGGAAGCAATTTATAAGGCCAAAGGTTAATTGGGGGAGGTTCTTGAAAAGTGTGGGAGATTGCCTGCCTGTTTTTTCCCTCCAGGTGATGAAATCCCAGTTGTAAAGCACTGCCTCTAATCTTCTGGAAAAATAAATTTACGGAAGTAAAATTTATTTTACATATGTTATTCTCCTAGTCTGGATTAATCAAGAGTTCCTCTGTATGTGAAACAATCTCAGCCCCCTTATTTGGTACACTACTTCTCTTCCACGTACGTAATTCTATGTATTCCATTTTTTTTGTTGACAGTTGTAGTCTAGGCACACAAAGTTGTACCAACCATTAAATATGGTTAAATAAGTACAGAGTGAGCAAAATAACAATCTGTACTCTGCACTCTTTGCACCTGTTGCTTGAAGGTTTTAAACCTGGTTGCCAGGATATTTTTTTTTCTCCTAGGTGATTTCTAGTACTGGATGGAAAATGTTAACCATTGCAGAGATGATGCTTGTGCACACATTGCTCGTAGATCAGTCTTTCATAATTTTTGCTGTTTCAATGTAATTGCAACAGGCATGTTGTGATTTATTGTGTGTTTAGAACACATGTACATTAACAGGTCTAGACATGGCCTCCTTAGCAAAAGAAATGTAATGCTATTCAATATCAGTCTTACGGTGGTCTTCTGGAAGCCTAATGAACCAGATTATTTATGTTCAAACCATTCTAAAACTGTATACATACTAACAATGGGAGCTGGGCACTCCTGGCACAATAGCTATTACCGTGTTTCTCCGAAAATAAGACCGGGTCTTATATTAATTTTAGTCACAAAAAACACACTAGGGCTTATTTTCAGGGTAGGGCTTATTTATTTATGGTACCGGTATGTACATTGAACAACATTTAAACAACATTTAAACAACTTTTCTCCACCCCCTTTAATTAATCCACCCCCTCTTTAATAAATCCACCCCCCTTTATTTAATCCACCCCCCTTTAATTAATCCATCCCCCTCTAATTAATCCATCCCCCTCTAATTAATCAACCCCTCTTTAATTAATCCAGCCCACCCTTTAATTAATTCACCCCCCTTTAATTAATTCAGTCCCAGACATAAAATATCTACTCACATTTCAAAGATTCCTTGCCCACCGATTCCGACCACTGGGTGCCTCACCGCCCGGAAATGGATCCTTCCGCTGAAGATCCGTGAAGGCAGACTGACGGCGCTGCGAAAGGTCGTCATCACGTTGCACGATGCCGCGGCCCGCAACGCTCCTCCCCCTCCTCCTCATATGGTAGAAGAAGGAAGTCTCGCCGGGCCGCAAAGGTGCAATGCCTAGGTCTTATTTTCGGGGTAGGGCTTATATTGCAGCCCACCCCGATAATCTGGCTAGGGCTTATTTTCGGGGTAGGGTGTATTTTCAGGGAAACAGGGTACAGTGGATTTCACATGCTTAATGTCACCTGGTGCAAAGAATTTCATCTCTGTATTGTATAGATGAAATGGATTCAGTGATACCGTGTGCCCACAGGTTTTTTTTTTTGTTTTTGTTTTTTATTACCCATTTTTATAGTACCCTTTATTTTTTTGTAAAATATGTACATTTGAGTGTATTTATTTAAGGCACATTTTGTATGTTCTTTAGTATATCCATATTTACAATAGCTTGTTTGTATACAGTCACAAAGCTGTCCCTTAATGTGTGTTTTAGTATAATACGTGTGCTAGTTTATACTACTCTTATGATCTGAAGTTGTGGAATTAACACTCCCCTGCTTTCCAGAATGGACTAGTTTTTCCTAATTGGCCTTTGCGTAATCTGGTTTTCTCTGGAGCTAAAAAACAAAAACAAACTTGTGCAAATGATTCTTGAGTGAGTGCAATGCAAATTGTTTGTTTTTAGTGTATTCTAAACCTTTCAAATAAAGTTGTGGTCCATGCAAACAGTACTTATTGGGTTGAGCAAAGGAGCTGTCATTGTCAAATATGTTACGGTTGTTTAACCCCTTAAGGACACGTCATGATTTCCTTTTATTCCAGATGTTTGGTCCTTAATGGGTAAAGAAAAAAATATATATATTTTATATAAATTTTTTTCTCACTCAAATAGTGTTTTAAAAATATTTATTGAATTTTTTTTATTTATTTTTTTATATGTAGGCAGCGTATTAAAAGTGATCATTTACTTCTCATGACTTTTAAAATTGTTTATTGGTTCTGAAAAATATAATTGCATATGGAAATGGGGAAACAGCTGTTTTGGACCTGAGCTCCACTATCTGTGCTCCCTGTAAGTCATTATTGGGAAAACCAGCCTTTGTACCTGTATGTCAACATAAACCGAGAATGGGAAATAGATTTATCAAGATGCTTTGTTATAAAAGTGGTGCAAAAATGGAAGCAGTTACAAGTAACATATGATTGCTGGTTCACTGGTTTCCATGGTTGTTGCTCTACTCTTAGTACTTTAGAACAGAACACTTTGATAGTGCTCCCTCAAAGTTTTTTTACTCTTCCAGTATAATGAATGTGTATCTCTTATTGTGCCAGGAGAGACCTGTATTCCTAAAACTATAATGTCCCTCTGGTTCCCCTCCGGGTGCAAAAAAGGTTAAAAATGCTTCTTACACTTACCTGATTCCAGTGCCGAACATGTTCCTCCTCTCACATCTGCCCATGAGGGAACCTCGGCAAGTTCCACCTGCACTTTATACCTTCCCCATAAGCAAACATTGAATTAATGCTTCCCTGTGGGGGTTAAGAAAATGGTGGGTGTCCACATGCACAAGGACGTCCAGCGTTGATTCAGAATCAAACGCAGTGAAAGGCCAGGAAGCGCCTCTAATGGCTGATGGACTGTTTCTCTGAATTGCAATGTTTGCAGCTGCGAGACATGCACCCAGACCATTTTAATGAGTTTAGTGTCCCTTTAATAATTTACTATACATGTGTTCTATGATGCGATAAGCGTTTAAATCTCAAACACTAAAATGAGTGACTGTTGGAGTATTTTTGTAACCAGTTTTTGCAGGTTAGTGGAATACTGTATGAAAAGCAACTAAAGATAAACACGACAAGCATTAGATCCATACTTGGCTCTGGAGCATAACAAAGGCAGTGAAAATTGGTATACTAAATTTTCTGTGAAAGCTGTGACTGCACAACATGCTCAAAATAGTCTCCAATGTTTCATGAACAAAACAGACTAATTTTCACCCAACTATAAACTTGATGTACTGTGCAGTGCTGATATGTTTTTATTTTCAGCATTGACCATTTTCTGAGCATCTTTTTCTGTTTAAAGGTTTGTTTATTTTCAGAAGCTTAAAGGGACACTAGTCACCAGAACAACTACAGCTTAAAGGAACACTATAGTCACCTAAATTACTTTAGCTAAATAAAGCAGTGTTAGTGTATAGAGAATTCCCCTGCAATTTCACTGCTCAATTCACTGCCATTTAGGAGTTAACCCCTTAAGGACGGAGCCAAATGTACACGTTGTGAACGAAACAAAATGTAAACAAAACCTGGCATTTGCGCTACATGTCTGTCCAACCGTAATTCACCTCTTTCATATTAAATGCACCCACCCTTATTATATATCATTTTATTCAGGGGAAACAGAGCTTTCATTTAATATCAAATATTTAGCTATGAAACATAATTTAATATGAAAAAAATGGGAGAAAATAAGATTTGATTTTTTTTTTTTTTTTTAACTGTCAATGTCATAATACTGTTTGCTTTTACTGCAATAAAATACACATATTTGTATTCAGCGATGTCTCACGTGTACAGGTTTTATAGCGTTTTGGGAAGTTACAGGGTCAAATATAGCACGTTACATTTGAAATTGAAATTCGCCAGATTGGTTACGTTGCCTTTGGGACTTTATAGTAGCCCAGGAATTAAATTTACACCCATAATGGCATACCATTTGCAATAGTAGACAACCCAAGGTATTGCAAATGGGGTATGTCCAGTCTTTTTTAGTAGCCATTTGGTCACAAACACTGGCCAAAGTTAGCGTTAGTATTTGTTTGTGTGTGGAAAATGCAAAAAATGCCAATTTTGGCCAGTGTTTGTGACTAAGTGGCTACTAAAAAAGACTGGACATACCCCGTTTGCAATACCTTGGGTTGTCTACTATTGCAAATGGCATGCCATCATAGGGGTAATTTTCATTCTTGGGCTACCATAGGATCTCAAAGGCAACGTACCCAATCTGGCGAATTTTAATGTGAAAAAAATGAAACACAAGCCTTATATTTGATGCTGTAACTTTTGAAAACACCATAAAACCTGTACATGAGGGATACTGTTGTACTCGGGAGACTTCGCTGAACACAAATATTTGTGTTTCAAAACAGTAAAAAGTATCGCAGGAATAATATCGTCCGTGTAGGTGCTGTTTGTGTGTGAAAAATGCAAAAAAGTCACTTTTACTGGCGATATCATTGTTGTAATACATTTTACTGTTTTGAAACACTAATATTTGTGTTTAGCGAAGTCCCCCGAGTAGAACAGTACCCCCCCATGTACAGGTTTTATGGTGTCTTGGAAAGTTATAGGGCTAAATATAGTGCTAGCAAATTAAATTCCCTTTACTTTCAGCATGGGTTGTCAGGCAGGTAATTGTAATTAATTAAGATACCCAATTATGTAAAATTATTGCATAAATATATATGTAGAATTAATGTGTGTGTGTGTGTGTGTGTGTGTGTGTGTGTGTGTGTGTGTATAGAAATATATAGATATATAGAGAGAGGGGGAGATATGTATATAGATATATATTTCGTTCTACGTGTATTTTGATATAAATATATATATTATCACAAAACAGAACGAAATAACACACATCTATATATTTAATTATTTTTTGATTTTTTACTGTATTTACATATTTTTTTTTTTATATATATTTTATATATATATATATATATATATATATATATATATATATATATATATATATATATATATATATATATATATATCAATAATTATATATAATCCGTATCAGTCTACGTGTAATTTGATATTAATATATATACACATTAAAGGACCACTCTAGGCACCCAGACCACTTCAGCTTAATGAAGTGGTCTGGGTGCCAGGTCCCTCTAGGATTACCCCCCCCTTTTTTATATATATATATATATATATATATATATATATATATATATATACACACATACATACATAGCAGTTTCAGAGAAACTGCTATGTTTATAAATGGGTTAATTCAGCCTCCAAATCCTCTAGTGGCTGTCTCATTGACAGCCGCTAGAGGCGCTTGCGTGCTTCTCACTGTGAAAATCACAGTGAGAATACGCAACCGTGCATAGGAAAGCATTGTAAATGCTTTCCTATGAGACCGGCTGAATGCGCGCGCAGCTCCTGCCGCGCATGCGCATTCAGCCGAAGAGGAGGATCGGAGAGGAGGAGGAGAGTTCCCCGCCCGACGCTGGAAAAAAGTAAGTTTATCCCCTTTCCTCTCTCCAGAGCCCGGTGGGAGGGGGACCCTGAGGGTGGTGGCACCCTCAGGGCACTATAGTGCCAGGAAAACGAGTGTGTTTTCTTGGCACTATAGTGGTCCTTTAAGCTAAAGTTGTTCAGGTGACTATAGTGTACCTTTTTAATGTAGTTGTTCTGGTGAGTATAATTCCCTTCAGGCATTTTCATATAAACACTGCCTTTTCAGAGTGCACAGTAAGCAGCTCTGCAGTTCAGCGTCCCCACGCTCTACATGGAGACGCTGAATTTTCCTCATAGAGATGCATCTCTATGAGGAGGTCCTGATTGGCCAAAATGGCATTTGGCCCCGTCACCATGCCGATTTGCACAAATCAAATGCTTTCCCTATGGGAAAGCGTTGGATTGGCTAAAAAGCAACTATTTTGATGTCACAAAGGGGGTGGTGCCAGCTCCGAAAGAACCGCGCAGCGCTGGGAATAAGGGGAGTTTTAAACTTTTATAGTGGGGGCAAGCCACCTAAATGATGGGTTTAGCACTATAGGGTCAGGAATACATGTTTGTGTTCATGACCCTATAGTGATCCTTTAAATGAGTATTGTTCTCATTCTGTTCTCTAAAAACTAAAGTTAACTTCAAGAAAATGTAAATGTCTTTAAAAAAATGTTTGGCAAAATCACAAGTGTATGGGAGGAATGCATTCCGGAGTCTACAGCTCAGGAATATGTCACATCTTTTATTCACACCATTTGTTTATTTATTTTTATTCTTACTTTCTGTGGTCCAGAGTACTGACTGAACTTCAAATACAATGTTTTCCAAATATATATATATATATATATATATATATATATATATATATATATATATATTTTAACTATTTTAGTTGTTTATCTAGTTTTTATGACGTGTTTGCACTTTGTCTAACCACAACTATATCTCAAAAGTTTGTGAATTATCCCTTTAAAACTCCTCTTGTAAAAAACATAATGGATGCCTTTCTGATGAAAAGATTTGTTTTCCTCTTCTACGCAAAGTAGCAAGAACAAATTTAATGGAATAAAATTCTCAAATTGAGACACCCCATTTTTAAATGCTTCAAATCGATAATACATAAAATCAATGTTGATTATTTTTAAACTTCCCAAAAATACTGTTATTGCACAGATAGTGTCAGTGGCAGACAGACTCCTTTCTGACCTGCCGCACCAATCCGGAATCTCTTTTGGTTTGTGATCTCATGTTATTCCATATTCCTTTGAACAAGAGTTTGAGATAAGTAGTTTAGTTTATCCCTTCTCTGCAGGATTGATTTCCTGTGATATGACTGGGCTGTTGGCACCCAATGCTGAATTTTTCCCTCCTGAGTATTCTCTGCAACCAAAGTAACTGGCCACAGTTTTGTAAGAGTGATGTGGGGATTAGACATTGGCATGTCCATGGCTCCTGCTTTTCTAGAAAGGCTACCAGTTGTGTGGAATTGATACTTAAAATTTCAGTAGGAGTTAAAAACACATTGAGCGCTAGCAGATCGGCCATATTACAGGAAGGTAGAGGAATAGGAAGGGAATTACCCAAAGCAGGTTGAAGAGTAGAAGGGAAATGGCTTTTTAAAATAGATAGAGATATATATATATATATATATATATATAATCTCAAACATCCTGAGCTCATATTAAAGGTAATTAAGTCCCAAGTAAGAGCCGTACCAACACCAAAAGAGGGATTAATTATAAATGTATTATAGTGTTTTTCTTGTTATATTCTTTCTCCATATTTGCCAGGCCTGTTTTTTGTTTTTTTTCCTGTGTTTTATCCAGACTATCAGCGTGTGAAGTATCAAATTCAAAACACATGAATGTTTTGGATTTTGTTTTATTATTAACCTAGTAAAGTATACAAATATTTCGCAGCGTGAGAGTTCCCAGTGTACTGCACTTTTTTTTTTTTTTTTTGTCTAAAAACATGAAATAGAAAATAGTGTGCCCATTTAAATGCTTAGGACTGTGGCACATGCATGCATTTGTGCTAAATTATCCTGTAAACTCCTTTTCATGCAGTAAGAGTTGCAATAGCATAAAAGATACTACAAAAACCTGTCACTAACATAATTTTATTCAAACCATAGTGCTTCCGTTTAAAAAAATATATCAGTTAATAACCCCCTCTCTCTATTTTGTTTTAAAGGTTGTCTAGTTTGTTTTATTCAGACTGCCCCCTAACAAGATATTTGTACTGTACCTAAATCATAGTGCCCACATAATTACTGACATTGCAATCTCCTATATGATATTTATCAACATGTTAAATACTGCTGATGGACAGTGGAAGATGTTGATGCATGCACAATCCTGCAAATCTGATCATTCTAAACCAACTTTACATTCAGTTGGATACCTTACATATAATGCTGCAGTGGGTGTTTGCAATAGTTTACCTTTCAAGAGTTAGAGCCTGAGCAGACTGAAAATCACAAACCTCTTCCAATCAACTGTTTACTAACAATTTCTAGTTAATCAGTAACTCCATTTAAAGGACAAATAAGCGCTGGAACTACAATCGACAAAATTGATAACCTAATAAATACATGTGCGTTTTACCCGACTTTTCAGTTTGTTTACCTTAAATGAGCAGTCCAGCACAGGGTTAGGCAACCTTCATCATCAACTTATTGTGGACTACATCTCCCTTAATGCTATGCTAGCATTATGGCTGTAAGAGGATTATGGGAGATGTAGTCCACAACACATGGAATGACAAAGGCTGTACACCCCTGCTCTAGCATTAAAAATATTTGTTTTGGCACCACCTAGATTTTGCTCACTAAAAATCCAGATCCAGACACTCTTCCTAGCAGCCACTCCTGCCCCTCTGATATCATCCATGCAGATAGGGACCTACTTACTGGGCAGGTGACTCTATCACCACACTCTGTGAAGCATTCCAAGTGTGTTGCTACATTTAACATGAAGACTTACAATTTTGAACGTCTTCATATGACAGATGTAAACTTTCTCTCAAACAAAATTTGTCGGAGTTCAGGAACACAAGTATTTGCACCAAAACTGCTCTTAAGACGTGGTTTTGGTTCTTTGTTTCTTTAAAAACAAACACTGCTTTGCCCATATGGAAAATAGTTTAATGGCACACTGGTTACCTGTTGGCATCATTAATATACTTGGCTGTATTAAAATAAATAAATTGAGATGCCAGGTCTAGGTTTATCGTGGTAGCTTTCGAAATCCTGAGAACAAATCCATGTGTTCAAAGCCTATCACATCAAAAAGACTTGACTGTAATTTCTGCCAAATGTTCTACAACAAACTACTGCGTTAAGGGATAGAATACTTATGTCAATGTGACATTTCAGTTTTTATTTTTTTAATGTATTTGCAAATAATCTCATTCTAGGGGTTTGTGTAGATTGATGTGAAGGAAAATAATTGAAACAGTTGTAGCATAAGGCTGCAACATAAAGTGGACAAGAATTACTTCTGAATGCACTGTATGCGAGTAGGTGGGTTTCGAAGTTACCCGCAGATTATTGTGCCTATCCTTATTTACGTTGAAGGATTTTATTACAGTGGGTTTGTTACTTGTGGTAATATTTCAGCCTCTTCCAGTTATCTTCTGAGATATTGATGTAGATTAACTGATTAGCAATCCCATCATTAAGCCCCACCTGTGAGAATAGCATTTATATATTTTCTAGTGCTGTTTGCTGCCTTTTTCTAATCTTGCTCTTTATTTTACTCTTGCAGTGTAGAGATTGGTGAAAGTGTAAGAGGTGAAGATGTCTACATCGTACAGAGTGGTTGCGGTGAAATCAATGACAACCTAATGGAGCTGCTTATAATGATTAATGCTTGTAAGATCGCTTCTTCATCCCGGGTAACTGCTGTTATTCCGTGTTTTCCATATGCTCGGCAAGACAAAAAAGATAAGGTAAGCAACTGAGTTGTCACATACGGAACTGAAGAGAAGGTCGTTTGTGTGTATATTTAAAGTTCAAAAAAATCCAAATAGGTTATGGTGGAGAAAAATTACGATTTGAAAACCCCTTCCACCTGAAGTCTGTGGATAGTTAATACAAGGTTAAACAAAAATCTATACACTAGTCAAGCCATATGACTTGCTTTTCCCACAGAAATCAGAAATCTGCAGTGATGTTACTACCGCAAAGTATTAGTTTAACAAAGAATCAAATTTTTGCCTCATTCCATTATCAACATGGATTCCTTTGAGTCTGTGTTTGCTGTATACAACAGCTTTGAAACACAACTTAGGAAAAGATGCAAAGCCAGTAAACCACTCTCTGACAGCTGTTTCGTTTACGTTAGATAGACATAGTGGATAGAGCACACTATGAATATTAAGCTATGTAAAACTATTCTTTCTCTTAATCTATAATAGTTCCTCTCCATTTGATTCACTGTCATTTGCCTACTATTACCAGCCTCCCTTTGCCCCTGTTGTGAGTGAGACGTCATGAAGCTGTGCTTTGACTAATTCTGAACCATGCATCTCCATCATAGCTCATTCTGCAGTTTTGCAGGCGGGCAGGATTTTAAACCAAACTGGCATCCTAAATCATTTTAGCAAGAGCCACAGCTGAGCTGGGATTATTGATGCTAGCATACGGTTAGCTCCGTTCATATTTGCTGCTTACCACCTCCTGATGCTTTTCTATTAAAGGTATACTATAGTGCTATAAATACAAACCTGTATTCTTAACACTGTAGCGCCCTTTGCCCGCTCTCCATCCCTCCCCTGACATTGAAAGGGTTGTTAAACCCGTTCTGTACTGACCTGATTCCAGGGCCAATCTCCCTTCGGCGTGGTTCGGCGCTCTGTCACCAGATGGGGTGGGCGCTAATGCGCTTGTGTGGTAATGCTTTTCTATGGGGACTTTACTGACGCTGGATGTCCTCATGCAGAGTGTGAGGATGTCCCATGTCAGGCGAGCAAAACCCACCTAACATGCAAAAAGTGTCTAAAGTGGTTTTCTGACAATCTTAACCTTCAGTGTAGTATACTTGTATTCGTGTTGTACACTAGCACACACATATGTGTAATTTATTGCAGTAACAGCTAACAGAATTATGACATTAACAATTAAAATGCATGCAGAACTTAATATAACAAAATGTCTTAATTTCTCACACTAATTTATTCAATGAAAAAAGTAAATTATGGTTGAACAGACATTAAGTCAAATTCTAGGTTTTGGTTCAGAACTTGTACAATTGCCTCTTCCCTTAAGGGTTTAAAATACATCAGAAACTGTATTAAAGGACCACTCTAGGCACCCAGACCACTTCAGCTCAATGAAGTGGTCTGGGTGCCTGGTCCAGCTAGGGTTAACCCATTTTTTCATAAACATAGCAGTTTCAGAGAAACTGCTATGTTTATGAATGGGTTAAGCCTTCCCCTATTTCCTCTAGCGGCTGTCTCATTGACAGCCACTAGAGGCGCTTGCGTGCTTCTCACTGTGATTTTCACAGTGAGAGCATGCCAGCGTCCATAGGAAAGCATTATGAATGCTTTCCTATGTGACCGGCTGAATGCGCGCGCAGCCTGCCGACAGGGCGGAGAGGAGGAGGAGAGCTCCCCGCCCAGCGCTGGAAAAAGGTAAGTTTAAACCCCTTTCCCCATTCCAGAGCCGGGTGGGAGGGGGACCCTGAGGGTGGGGGCACCCTCAGGGCACTATAGTGGTCCTTTGAGTATTTTTGCAATTAAATACGGTTCACGATGTCATGAATTGCGTAAGCTGGATTGATCTCACCAAGCTTTGTTGTTTTATAATGTAAAACATGTAGTACTACATATTTTGAAGATTTATTTTTGGTTCAGGACACACAGGTTTAAAGGGACACTATAGTTACCAGAACTACTACCAGTTGTTCTGGTGTCTACAGCCAATCCCTGCATGCATTTTAATGTAAATGCTAACTTTACAGAGAAAGAACTTCTACTATAAGTGCAATCCAGGTCAGCAGCACTGATGTGCAGGAAGATGCTGAACACTTGCCATACAGATGCATTGATTCAACACAGCATTTTGCCGCGCATGCACAAGAGCCTCCCAATGCTTTTCCTCGTCTTCCTATCGTCAAATATGATCTCATCCAGGGAGGCACATTAAGACCAGCTCTGGCACTGATGAAAGGATACACAAAATACCTTTTCAAAGGGAGGCAAGGGGTCACCTAAAGAGGTTGTTTTTTTTTTACACTATAGTGTCAGGAGTAAATACATGTTTCTGTTCTGACACTGTAGTGTTCATTTAAGAACATGTGCAATACTATGAGGTGTACTGTGTCCTGTACATTTAGCAGAATGGATGCATTTGGTTAAGAGATAAGAGCTGCAGCCTAAATTTACCAAGTGCAAATATAGTGCCCTAAATAATGACATTGACATACTTAATTTTCATGAAAGTTTCATAAGATGCACAGTTTAAAAGACTCTCCCAAAATCGTCTTTCTTCTTAAAGACAGTTTGACAACAAATGTGAGTTACTGTTGAGTTATGGTTCTTGGAATGTACTATTAGTACTTTGTGCAATTTAATTGCGTTGCTGACCCTTTCTGTCAAGTGAAAAGATGCACTCAACTGATGTAGATAAAGCTGAATGAGAGTGTTCGCTTTAGTTATATCAAAATAACTAACTGGAAGGGCAGTCTGGCCCTGGGAAGCCAGGTAAATGTTAAAGGACCACTCTAGGCACCCAGACCACTTCAGCTTAATGAAGTGGTCTGGGTGCCAAGTCCAGCTAGGGTTAACCCATTTTTTCATAAACATAGCAGTTTCAGAGAATGGGTTAAGCCTTCCCCCTAATCCTCTAGTGGCTGTCTCATTGACAGCCACTAGAGGCGCTTGCGTGCTTCTCACTGTGATTTTCAGTGAGAGCACGCAAGCGTCCATAGGAAAGCATTATGAATGCTTTCCTATGTGACCGGCTGAATGCGCGCGCAGCTCTTGCCGCTCGTGCGCATTCAGCCGAATGGGAGGAACGGAGGAGGAGAGCTCTCCGCCCAGCGCTAGAAAAAGGTAAGTTTAACCCCTTTTCCCCTTTCCAGAGCCGTGCGGGAGGGGGACCCTGAGGGTGGGGGGCACCCTCAGGGCACTATAGTGCCAGGAAAACAAGTATGTTTTCCTGGCACTAGAGTGGTCCTTTAAACCATTCAAAACAGTTTGACTACTTACAATGGGATTGCATTAGGGGTCTCCTGGCCTAGAATATCTATTTGCAGAATCACCTGAGCACATCAGTTATGTTTGTGTGTGTGTTTGTTTTTGTATTTTTGTTTTTCCTTTTTATACAGATTGTAAGTATTGCAGATTTCTGTTGGCTAAGTTTTTACAATAGTTGTTTTTACTGTGTAGTACTAACTTTTATATAAAGGTTTGTTTCTCTAGACATCCAAAGCGTAACAAGATGATGAAACATTTTCAAGGTCCTTTTTACAAGTGTAAACATTGATTTACCAGGGATGTTTTTGAACCAATATAGATAACCTCCAACCTGTGGGAACAAAATCTCAAGCAACTTTTGTGTATTTAAAGTGTCTGCTATGCGAAGACCAGAAATACTGAGCTAAAGGAAAAAGAAAAAAAATTGTATCCATTCTTAAAATTAAGCAAAACATTAACATTTCAATGACAAAGTGGAGTGAGGAAAAAAGAGGGGTGTATAGAGACTGCAGTCTGTAAATAGAACAACCTAAAACCTGTTAATTCATCATATACACAAAATAAACCTATATGTAAATGACACAAAAAGTAATATAGGGTGAAACCAATCTAAAATATAGACATCCTAAAACTCTGTATGAGGTAGACCAGTGCAGAAAAATATATTAAAGTATAGAATATAAATTGAGTATTAATGTTCCAGAATAATAAGAAAAGTCTTTAATCTTGATATAATAAATGGAATCCGTAGTATGTTGCCTTTAAAGGACCACTCTAGGCACCCAGACCACTACAGCTTAATGAAGTGGTCTGGGTGCCAGGTCCAGCTAGGGTTAACCCAGTTTTTAATAAACATAGCAGTTTCAGAGAAACTGCTATGTTTATTAATGGGTTAAGCCTTCCCCCTAATCCTCTAGTGGCTGTCTCATTGACAGCCACTAGAGGCGCTTGCGTGCTTCTCACTGTGATTTTCACATTGAGAGCACGCCAGCGTCCATAGGGAAGCATTATGAATGCTTTCCTATGTGACCGGCTGAATGCGCGCGCAGCTCTTGCCGCGCGTGCGCATTCAGCCGACGGGGCGGAACCGAGGAGGAGAGCTCTCCGCCCAGCGCTGGAAAAAGGTAAGTTTAAACCCCTTTCCAGAGCCGGGCGGGAGGGGGTCCCTGAGGGTGGGGGCACCCTCAGGGCACTATAGTGCCAGGAAAACAAGTATGTTTTCCTGGCACTATAGTGGTCCTTTAAACCATTCAAAACAGTTTGACTACTTACCATGGGATTGCATTAGGGGTCTCCTGGCCTCTCTGAAACTGCTATGTTTATGAAAAAAATGGGTTAACCCTAGCTGGACCTGGCACCCAGACCACTACATTAAGCTGAAGTGGTCTGGGTGCCTAGAGTGGTCCTTTAATTGCAGGGGGAAAAAACATTAATTCTGTTTGTGGTAATCTTTATTCCCTCCTTTTCTGGCAATAGATTTTTTTTTTTCAATACCTTGTCTTTCTTAAAGGAACACTAGGCACCCAGCCCACTTCAGTTTACTAATTCCCACATCTCTTAACACTACGAAGGTAATTATTGCAGTTTTTAAGAAACTTCAATAATTACCTTTCAGGTTTAACTCTCCCTTTAGTGACTGTCTACCAGACAGCCACTAGAGGTGTCCGGGTTCTTAGGCGACTTTTGATGTTTGGGAGACCCGGCGTCACTCAAAAATCCATAGGAAAGCAGTCTGTCTTGTAATTTTATCCTTTAGTAATATCTAGTAATGTTTAAATTGCAATAAATGTGTTCTCTCTCACGTGATAAAAAAAATGTCGGTGGACAAGAGTCTTTAGACAGGTTTTCAATACTGAAGCCAGGCAGACCTATTTAGTAATTTAGCATAGTTTGCTAATATGAAAATAGTCTTTGCTTTGTGTTTTTCTTGCCTTTTTCTTTTCCTCCCAAGTTTATATACCATTGTGTGAATAATTGTAGTGGTAGATTTAAGTGTACATGGTATTTGTGTTAGTGTGCAGGTTGTTAGGGTTGAAGGGTATAATAGCCATTTTAATGACTCCTATGATTATTGGTAGTCTGAGTGCAGGATTAATTTCTGTGGGGTTTTTATTTGCTTATTATTTTCTTTTGTATTACACAGCCATGTTATTCTGCTTCCATAAACTGCCATGTATAATTTTAGAAGATTAGATAGTAAACCTAATTAAACTTCACTTTTAGCTATAGAATATAACAACAATGAATGTGATAACATTGTTTTTTTGTTTTTTTTCTTTAAACATTTTTCATTCATTTATTTTCTTTTTAGAGTCGAGCTCCAATATCTGCCAAATTGGTTGCAAACATGCTTTCGGTTGCTGGAGCTGACCACATTATTACCATGGACCTTCATGCTTCTCAGATACAGGTATTCTTATAAAAATGAATCCCATATAAATAGTGTGTGTGTGCGTTCGTTCTGCACCCAGGCGCTACATCATAGCACAAATCAAGAGGGTGATGCACTCATTATTTAGAAAATTTAGCAGTTTGAGTAAATCATATTAAAATATAACGAAGATCTATATATACACTGATCAGTCTGCCAAGACAGCTCTGATGCGTCGAGGCATTGACTCAACAAGACCTCCCGACGGGTCGTGTTATCTGGCACCAAGATATTAGCAGAATATCCTTTTAAGTCCTGACATTTGTGAGGTACAGTTACCATGGGTTGGATTTTTTTTGTACCAGCACATTCCACAGATGCTCAATAGGATTTAAGATCTGGAGAATTTGGAAGCCAAGGCAGCATCTTGAAGTGATGGTTATGTTCCTCAACCCATTCCTGAGCATTTTTCTTTTGAAGTAGGCCACTGCTATCAGGAAACACAATTGCCACGAACTGGTGTACGTAGTCTGCAATAATCTCTATGTAGGTGGTATGTGTCAAAGTAACATCCACATAACACTGCCTCTGCTGGACTGCCTTCTTTCCATAGTGCATCCAGCTGTCGTCTCTTTGACCTAGCCATCTATCTGATCTAATTGAAATTTGATTCATCAGACAAGACAACCTTCTTCCATTGCTCCGTGGTCCTGTTCTGATGCACACATCCCCATTGGAGGCACTTTCAATAGTGGACAGGGGTAATCATGGGCGCTCTGACTGGTCTGCAGCTATGCAGCCCCATACACAGCAAGCTGCGATTCACTGTGTGTTCTAACACCCTTCTATCATGGTTAGCATAATGTTTTAAGCAATTAGTTACAGTAGCTTTTCTGTTTGATTAAACCAGACAGGCTAGCCCACCCTCTGCACATGCATCAGTGAGACTTGGGCGCCCATGACCCTGACTCCTGTTCACCAGTTGTCCTTCCTTGCACTACTTTTGGTAGGTACTAACCACTGCATTCCAGGAACACCCCACAAGAATTGCTGTTTTGTAGATGCTCTGACACAGACATCTAGCCATAACTTTGACACTTGTCAAAGTCCCCCAGATCTTTACATTTTTCCTGTTTCCAGGACATACAATTCAAGAACTGACCACTTCCTGTCTTAGCTGGGAACTTTGGGATACTATTGAAAACATGATCTTTAGAGTTTGTGTCGAAGTGTGACTTCTCAAAGTCCAACTTGAGATGCTGGTGATGCAGTAAAATGCCTATCTTTTTAAACTATATTTCTGCATGCTTGCTACGTACGTATGTATGTTTATAACAATTTATGATGAACTATCTGTTAAAGAGTTACTCCAAGCATCATAACCACTACAGCCCATTCTAGTGATTTACAATGCTTGGAATATTTGGTTTGCTGATTACCTGGGACCCGCCAGGCACTGAACCTCCCCCCATGGTGGCTGAATTGCATCCAGTTTCTGCAAAGATACAGAAGATTGGATGCCTCAGTGAATGCAGTCGCACAGAATTGACAACCTGTAATGCTGCTGGGGTGACAGGTAGCCTAAATACCTAGTACGTGCAGTTTCGTACTGAAAACTCTGCACATACAGGTTCATTGCACCATGAGCACTTCAAATCACTGAAGTAATCATTGTACTTGGAGTAGTCATTTAATCTTCTGAAAATGTGGGAAATTTATAACGCCTGTCACAAGTGGTAGCTTTCTCTTGGCAATACAGTCTGACTAATTTCCTTCAATCTCTGTAGATGTTGCTACCTGGTTAAGTCTAAAATCTGTGCTCTAACAGTGTGGGGTGTAAGCCATCTTTGTCTTATATTGTATTAACTGTTGCTTCCTATGTTTTGTTTTGACTGTTTCTTTTATTACAGGGCTTCTTTGACATTCCCGTAGATAATTTGTATGCTGAACCTGCAGTTCTACAGTGGGTCAGGGAAAATATTCCTGAATGGAAAAACTCAATTATTGTGTCTCCTGATGCTGGTGGAGCTAAAAGGTAGAGTTCATTATTTTTAGGATACTGAAAATGGGAATTAGAGAGAATCCGTCTGGAAGGATAGATACAGGTGTCAATACACCTGTTCCATTATGTTGAAATTATTGTACAATATATCTTCACTGTGGGTTCTTTAGATTAAAAGATATTGCTCTCGTAAAGGGTATTATTCCCTTCATGTTGAGATCGGAACATGAATATGTGAGATGCTTTTCTAGGGTTTGCTTTCCCTTCATCTCCTGCACAATAAAGTGTACATTTTGCAAAGTGCATTTAAGGAAAGGACCATGCTTAGAAGAAAGCAATGATTTTAAAGCAGATTAGGGGGGCAAAACTTGATATATGGTTAAAGAAAACATGAAATATGAGCAAAAAATCATTGTGCTCTCAGAATCATGGTTAACAGCTAAAATACCAGACACCGCCATTGCAATACAGGGTTATTCATGTTTTAGAAATGACAGAGCAAAGAGAGGAGGAGGCATTGTTATTTATGTTGACAATTCCATAAAGTTTACCCCTTTACAAAACCTTAGTCCTCCTGCCACCTTTGATTTCCTTTCTGGCACAATTGAGATCCCGTGCAGTAAATCAATCATTGTTGCAGGAATCTACCGCCCACCTAGCTCCCCTGTGCATTCCCTTTCTGACATAGCCCATCTCCTTAGTGAAACCATAGCTCAAAACCCAAAAAGTGAACTGTTGGTCTTTGGAGATTTTAATATTGATTGGCTGAACCCTAAAAATAATAGTCCTTGCACTCTGTTTAAGACTTTGCAGCTAACACAATTAATCTCCTCCCCAACTCGCATAAACATTAAAAGACATTAATAACCATACCCTGCTCGATTGGATTCTCTCCACTTCTCCTGATAGAATCCAGGAGGCAGGTGTTCTCCCAAACACGTTCAGTGATCACTGTTTAGTGTACTGCGTGCGCAAAATAAAGGCTATTAAATCCTCTCCCAAGGTTAAAATAACTAGGTCCTTCAAAAAATTTAATCTTAAATCCTTTTTAAATGACATCAAGAATCTCTCATGGCACAGATTAAACATTATCCCAGATCCAGACTGTGCTGTTGAATACTTTCAGTCTGAACTCCTACAAATTTGGAATTTGCATGCCCCGCTGCGTAAGGTGAGGGATTCTTTGTGGTCAAAGTTTAAGCGTACTGGCTCTATGAATGATCACGGTGCATATAGACAATGGCGAAATATATGCACAAAACTGGCCAAGGCCCAATAGTTCTATGAAAATCTGAACAGTAACATCTCAAACCCTAGAAACTTTTGGAAAGACATAAATAAACTACAAACTCCCCCGAACCACTCCCAACCCTCCACTGTCAAAGTGGGTAACCAAACCCTGCAACTTCCCTTAGATGTAGCAAATGCCTTTAACAATTATTTTGTCGGATGCTCTACTGCCCTGATTGCCAAGCTAATAAATGACACGCATCCTGAAACTACAAATGTGGATCAGGTCACACTAAATTTGCAAAGGCCCAATATAGACAAGTTTATTTTTAGACCTGTACCTGTTAGTGTCATTAAAAAACATCTTAATAATCTAAAAATGAAAAACCAGTCCGGACCTGATCAAATCCCAGCAATGCTGTTGAAGCTCAGTGCGCCGGCAATTGCTAAACCCGTCTCAACTCTAATTAACGAATCCTTGGTGTCTGGATACATACCCAAACTTTGGAAGACTGCGAGAGTAGTGCCTATCCATAAAAGTGGTGACACTACTTTGGTTTCTAACTATCGCCCAATATCATTGCTCCCGGTATTGTCAAAAATCTTAGAAAAATGTGTCCATACGCAACTTTGTGAGTAATACCAACAATTAAACTATCTGACCCCTGATCAATCGGGCTTTCGCCAGAATCACTCCACGACAACTGTCCTCCTAAAAGTTTGCAATGACATCCAAACTGGCATGGAACAAGGAGCCCTAACTGGAGCTCTTTTCCTTGATTTTGCTAAGGCCTTTGACACAGTAGACCACGACATTCTACTGCACAAACTCAAAAAATCAGGTATTGGTGATCATTCTCTAAACTGGTTTCAATCGTATGTATCGAATCGCTCGCAATATGTGTCCATTTCTGACAGTGACTCCCTCCCTCTCCCAGTCACGTGTGGTGTTCCCCAGGGTTCCATTCTCGGCCCCCTACTATTTACATTATTTATAAATGATCTGCCTAATGTCTGCCAATCCTCAAATGTACACTTATGCGCGCAAATCCAATCTACCGCAACTTGAGGCTGTGCTCCAAGACCAGTTTACAGAGGTAGAAAAGTGGATCACAAAAAACAAACTCTTCCTGAACACTGACAAAACTGTCACAATGATCTTTGGAACAGTACCTAAATTACACAATTCCCACCTATCCATCAAAATAAATTCAAATGGCACACTGACCGCAGTCCACTCTTTCAAATACTTGGGTATGATATTAGACCCCAATCTATCTTTTGGCCTGCACATAGAAAAGCTTGCATCTAAACTTTATCCCAAATTAGGTGCCCTGTACAGAAACAAAGCCTGCCTAAGCCCTACAGTAAAGGAAAAGATTGTACAGCAAATCTTCATCGCAATCCCACATTAATAAACTCAACTCATTGTATAACTCGTTCTGCCGATTTGTGCTACAATGTAATTACAGGACCCATCATTGTGACATGCTAAAAGAACTAAACTGGCTATCGACATACTTGAAAACGAGAGAAATCTCAATGTATCTTTCCTGTTAAAATATTTTATAAATAAATAATATACTGAATTTTTGCTTTTGCAGATGATTCATCATCCATAAAGATTTTTGTATTCTTATATGAAAGTGATTCTTTTCACTTCCAGTTTGAGAATTTAGAAAATAACTTTTAGCCACAAGAGTAGAGAAAAGAGAACTATCAAATCTGATAATACTGTAACAACGTGTCAAAGGTGATTGTTACAGTTGATAGTACTTTCCAAATAGTAGACATAAAAGTATTGCTACTATAATTGACAGAAAGTGCTTCCAATATATATCCAGAGTATTCCTGGTTAAATGAAGGAAAGAAAAAAACATATGTCTGCTGCACTGGGACTATTCTAATATGTCTCAAGTGTCTCATAACTTTCTAAGTAACCGGAACATAATCTGGGGCTATGATTTTCGAAGAACACTTTTAAAAATGTCCCAAATGTTCTTAATCAAGCTTGAAGAGATATAAGAAAACACGTCTACTATAATAGGTTGTAATCAGAAATAAACAGAAAGTAGACAGCGTAAACAAAGCCGTTCAATATGGCTGTTAATCTGTGGTCGGATAGGCTGAACCGTCCGGTTAGACTAGTAACTTGCAGAAAATAATCTAATATTCAGGTATATATAGTGGCAGTTACTGAATATAGCCGCTGCTCTAAGACCCCCACAGAAAGGAAATGGTGGAAGAATAGAAAGATATCGGTGCCTTCGAGGGCACCTACCAGATATAGAAGCTAACTACACGTGATGAAAAGGAGAGAGGAAGCAGAAGTTATCTATAAGTAACTGTGCATTCAAAAGCACCCCTCTGCAAAGTATGTGCTAAATTGTAGAACTAGCTAATTAGCATTGAATAACAAAATCCACAATAGTGTCTTATGATGTATCGATATGATGTATCGGGCCCTTGAAAAGCCGCCTTAACGGCGAAACGCGCGTCGGGGTTTTTCTCCGATCCCTCCAAATACCCCAATATTCTGCAATTGCAGTAATCATCCATTATTTAAATGCTTATATTTTGGCTATTAATAATTTTTTGATAGCGGGTATAGTGGGAGGTGTTTTAATAACTTAGCCGTCGATATGATTCAGGGCTGTAATTTAACTATCTAACCGCTGATATCGTTTATGGCTGTAACCATTTAGCCGCCGCTCATAGCATATCGATACATCATAAGACACTATTGTGGATTTTGTTATTCAATGCTAACTAGCTAGTTCTACAATTTAGCACATACTTTGCAGAGGGGTGCTTTTGAATGCACAGTTACTTATCATAGATAACTTCTGCTTCCTCTCTCCTTTTCATCACGTGTAGTTAGCTTCTATATCTGGTAGGTGCCCTCGAAGGCACAGATATCTTTCTATTTTTCCACCATTTCCTTTCTGTGGGGGTCTTAGAGCAGCGGCTATATTCAGTAACTGCCACTATATATACCTGAATATTAGATTATTTTCTGCAAGTTACTAGTCTAACCGGACGGTTCAGCCTATCCGACCACAGATTAACAGCCATATTGAACGGCTTTGTTTACGCTGTCTACTTTCTGTTTATTTCTGATTACAACCTATTATAGTAGACGTGTTTTCTTATATCTCTTCAAGCTTGATTAAGAACATTTGGGACATTTTTAAAAGTGTTCTTCGAAAATCATAGCCCCAGATTATGTTCCGGTTACTTAGAAAGTTATGAGACACTTGAGACATATTAGAATAGTCCCAGTGCAGCAGACATATGTTTTTTCTTTCCTTCATTTAACCAGGAATACTCTGGATATATCGGAAGCACTTTCTGTCAATTATAGTAGCAATACTTTTGTGTCTACTATTTGGAAAGTACTATCAACTGTAACAATCACCTTTGACACGTTGTTACAGTATTATCAGATTTGATAGTTCTCCTCTTTTCTCTTGTCTTGATAGGTTGTAACAGTATTATCTCAGTAGACAGTTTTCATCTATTTATAGAACATCGTTATTCACATCTCTGAGATTCAGATACTGTTTCTTTGGTTTTTAATTCTAATCTTCCTTATATTATCCCTTCGTGTCTTGGTATATATATCTAGACCGATTAGGACTATATATGTGTAATAATCACTCTATATTACATTCACCATTAAAATTTATATTTTAATAGTATATATCCTTTAGGTAGTGTTTTTCTTTCTTTTCCTTTGAATATATTTATATTTAGGGTTAACCCCTTAACTACCTTGTTACCCTATTCTTCACTTTGGGCTTTCACTCTGTTAAAAATTTAGCCACAAGAGGGCACTGTTGCAAAGCGCAAGACTTAAAACTGTAATCCATGTCAAAGTGTGTTATCACCTCCTGTTTCCAGTATCTGACTTAATTTGTGTTTGTCTGGCTCACTTGTTTTTAACCCCTTAAGGACACATGACATATGTGACATGTCATGATTCCATTTTATTCCAGAAGTTTGGTCCTTAAGGGGTTAAACTGTGCTCTATATTCTATGTACTAAATACTAAGAGTTGTTTAATGATGTCTTTATATCTCTAGGGTTACATCAATTGCTGACCGACTTAATGTTGAGTTTGCTCTGATCCACAAGGAACGTAAAAAAGCCAATGAAGTTGACAGAATGGTTTTGGTTGGAGATGTGAAGGATCGTGTTGCAATTCTGGTCGATGATATGGCTGATACATGTGGCACCATATGCCATGCTGCTGACAAGTAAGACTTGGCTTTCCCGAAAAATAAATTGAATGATTCTTTGTGAAGGCTGTGGGCAAATATAAGTTGTCCACAAAGAAAATCGGCATATGCAAATTTATGGATAGTGGAATCCTTAAACTGTTAAGTGAAATATATTTAATATGTTTACCCTTTCAAGGGGCATTCTTCCATCTGTGCTCATTTTGACACTTGTGATTGGGTTATTAAAAGGACACTTAAGGCACAATGTCTGGTTGCCATTCTGCAGAATGCCAATGTTTTTCCTTGCAAGGTTCAAATGCCTTTATTTGCTATCAATCTCATTTTAGTAAATAACGCTGTTACTGTTTTAATATATTCAGCAAATAAGATTCAACGGTGATGTCATTTGTATTCTTTACTGAATTTAATCGTGACTAGTTTTTGAAATGTATTCAGTTCAGTTACAAATATTTATATAGTGCCAGCATGTTCTGCAGAGCTGTTCAATATGTAGAATCACGCAAACAAGTAATTCTAAATAGTGTGACATACAGGAACAGTAGGTAAATAAAGCTCTATAAGACACTTATTTTATTTAGTAATTAAAAACTTTTTTTTTAAATGCGACACTCAAAAAAATATAATGTATTTTTCGTACATTTGCAAATATGTTTGTGTGTGGCAGGTGACTCTTAAATTTCATTGAAGGGACACTACAGGCACACAGACCACCCAGTGGTCTGGGTGCAATTTCCCTGTTGCCCTTAGTCCTGCAATGTAAAAACATTGCTATTTTTAGAGCCCTTAGTCCTGCAATGTAAAAACATTGCTATTTTTAGAGAAATACATTGCAGCACTAAGACCGCATCTATGTCTGTTTACCAGACAGCCACTAGAGGAACTTCCTGCTTGCTAGGTGACTTGTGGTTGCCTATCTGGCGCTGGACGTCCTCACAGTCTACATGAGGGCATCTAGCGTCCATTAAATCCCCATAGGAAAGGGTAAGTACAGTAAGTAAAGAGTTTTTAACCCTTTATTGGCTAGGGAGACACAAGGGAGCAGCCAGCGGGAGCTATAGTGCTAGGAATACATATTCATTGACCTAACACTCTAGTAACTCTTAAATTGTTTGGTACTCTGTTCAGCAGCAGTATCTGAGCCGATGTAAATTTTCTAGAGGCGGTCTGTGTATTTACTGTCATACTCACTGGTTCAAAGTTGAAGGGGAATGAAGGTGGGTTAATTTACTTAATTCCAATTGAATTTCAATCCAAATGGCAAAATTGTGACCAGGGTCGAATTAGTGTGTTTTTTTGTTTTGTTTTTTCAAATCTGCTTTGTTTGTCAAAAATTAAAATGCAACTATCAAAAGAGAGGCCATTTTCGACAGTTTGCATTTTAGTGGATAGCCCTGTAAGTGTTCATTCCTGTGTACTGCCCTTTTTCATTTGGGAATAAACTATATGTTTTCTGCAAACTGTACGGTTAATCATGCAGTCAGGAAGACTATTTTGTGAAAATGAGAAGTGTGGTTTATGGGTTGGAGTTACATTTTAGAAAGCTGCAAAATGTATATATTTTTAATTTACATTTTTTTTTCTTCACTTGAAGGTTACTTTCTGCTGGAGCAACAAAGGTTTATGCAATTTTAACTCATGGGATTTTCTCTGGACCTGCCATCTCTCGAATCAATAATGCAGCATTTGAGGCTGTAGTGGTAACTAATACAATCCCACAAGAAGACAAAATGAAAGCTTGCTCAAAGATTCAGGTATCTGTTTTTAACTATTTTTGTTTTTCCACACAGTTCATGTGTGGTTGTTTAATAAATATCAGTCATTCAAAAACTATATATGGATGTACTTAATTAGTCTAAATGCCAGTAATAACTAAATGTGAACATTTCTCATGTCCTGAAGTCCTTATATGGAGTGGAACAATGCATAGTTTCTCATAGAAACACAAACTGTAAACAGTTATGAAAAGCAAATTGTTAATCCATATTTCTCTAAAATAATTGTCATTGCATTGACTGTTTATTTGCTTAGCGAGTAAAGCTACTAAAACGTTGCCTGGTATTTTTCGTTCTACTCTAATCATTACCACCACATTCTCTGACTGACCTTTGTCAGGGAATTACATGCAGTAGCTGCGTAAACAGTGAAAATATTTTACAAAGTAATAAAACAAAAAAATGCACAAAGTGTATACGCAAACAAATGCTTGGTGTAATGAGTTGTTTCCAGTGGTATGATTATATGGCCACCAGCCAGTCAATTGCAGAAGACTTCTAAAACAGCTGTAGCTATCTCTAAATGTAATAAAAAAGGAATACATAGTGTAATCTGTAGAAAAAAGTATACGTGAAATGTTAGAAGAAAACTCACTGAAATGGATTTAGAAGACTTGTAGAGTCGAAACGCATCTGCTATATTTTCTGTTACGCATGGAGGGGCGCGAGCGATGAGAACCATATGTTGAGTTTCATTCCTGCACATTGCTTAAAAGGCGCTTTATCGTGTTTGTGTGTGTGCGCAGTGGTGTATTTAGGTTTTGTGCTGCCCTAGGCATGACTAAACCTGGGCACCCTCCTTATCTAAATTTGCCAGAGGAGCTTCAGGGAGGCATGCGGCTGTATTGGAATCTGAGGCTGTGAGGGAGCTCTGATCTCCCTGTCCTTCATTGTTTGCTGACTGCCTTGGGAGCCGGAATATGACATATCCCGGCTCCAGGCATCAGTAGACTGCCCACGAGGCTCGAGGGAGCAGAGCAGGGAGATCAGAGCTCCCACGCCACCTCGGATTCCAATACAGCCGCACGCCTCCCAGCAGCTTCACTGGACCCCAGGGACAGATCCACGCCAGCTCTCCAGGTAGGGAGGCTGGGTGGAAATATTCAATGCTGCAGCCCAGCACCGATTCTGCGCCAGAGGGCAAGCAGGAGACCTCTCCAGGTACTTTTCAGACCTGGGAGTGGACCGTGGAAGGCTGGGAAAGACTATTTCAGTTTTAATTTTTTTTTTTTTTATTGCATGATTGTGCTACCACAGTATTTAAATCCATTTAAAGCAGTGCTCACATTGTGGACCCCCAAAGAATCGAAAGATACCTGGATTTCCTTGGTACCAGCAGGGATTTTTAACCTTTGCTGGTACCTCTACTGCATGGCATTGGCTGTCGTGTGATTAAGGTGTCTGGGGAGCATCTATTGCACCTACTATATTAATTAAAAGCTCCAACGTATTTATTTTATACATAAGTATTTACATTTTTTTTACAGCAATACTTGATTGCATAAGTAAATTACATATTCATCAATCCATACACAGGGTACTAATTTATTTATATTAACCTGATAAATTGTAATGCAACATTTTTTCTATTTTGTTCTGCACAATTCTATACTTTCCATCATTTCAGATGGACAAAGAGTGGAACACTTTAATTTGAGGGGTGTGACCAGGGGTGGAGCTGTTCTAAAAAATATTTTTAATGCTAATAGCAATTTAGGCAACAAATATGTAAATTGGAACAAGAACAATATATATTATTTATACAGACTAATTTCTAAACACATTTATTGTAGTTTAACAACCTGTTACTGCGTGTATTATTGCTGTGGAGCTCTGTTCTAAATTCACACATCAAAAGCAGTCCTAGAAAAGAATATTGGGATAGAAAATAGGGAATTGGGTCTAAAATATGCATACTTGAGAAGTTTGCATTTCTACAGTTCTTCAGCATTTTAATACAGTAAAATGAAATAGATCTATTTTGTGTACCTAACTAGACTGTTTTTCTTTCTTTTTGAAGGTAATCGACATTTCTATGATTTTGGCAGAGGCCATTCGAAGGACGCATAATGGAGAATCTGTGTCATACCTGTTCAGCCATGTCCCCTTGTAAAATTTTTCCTTCCTGCATGCAGCAGCCCTCATTTGTTTCCTTTTTAAAGCAAAGTTAACCAAAAGCCGGATAGTTAATGCCTATTTAGCAGTTTCAACATTTTTGCTCTCTTTTTGGAAGAATTCAGTCTAGCAAGAAGTAAAGTAGTATTCTGAACGCATTCTTTTTAAGGAAGTGTTGAACACAGCTCTGCTTTCAAACTGGCCATACATTGTATTTCTATTTAATAAAAGCTATATGGACATTCTAGATAAAGTTATGCCCGTGTACTTGCACAAGATGATTTATCGGTGAATCAATCTCACCGAGTAGGTCTGACATTTTGAATGTTACCTTTTCCAGCGAAAGGCTTGGGGTTGTATGGGAAGGGTGGGACATGATAGTGGGAGAGATTCAAATTCAGAATTTTTTTTTTTTTTTTTATATGCAGTTTAAATCTTTAATAATGCTAGCAGATGTATTCTGTATACTGTCAATAGATTATGGGCTAGTTTACTTTGTTCATTTAGGATGTTGTACATCAGCAAGCTGACAGCACTAGAACAACGTTGCCATTTGTATTTTATTTTTCATTGTTTCTGTTATGACATGTTGAACTGGAAATGTTTTCAATATGGCATTTTGTGCATAACACCAGCTTTTTATCTGATTCATTTATTACAAATATTAATGCTCCCCTCAAACTATAAATCTCAACTTTGTATCCAATTTGAAATGGCAGTGGAGCAATGTGTAGCATACTCCAGTAGGTGTAAAATAGCAATGCAGAATTATTTTGAACACCTTAATAAACTGGATTAAAAATGTATTGTACCAAAGTTCATTGAAAAGCCGCACAATGCATTTGATTTTCTATAATGGTCAATTTATTTTTATTTTTTTATTTTTTTTGGGAGGGTAGGAAAGGTAGGAGTTGTTGTTCTTCTTTTTTATCCTCCTTCCTTTCCAAAATGGGTCTCTGTTGCTGTTCATTTGAAGAAAAATATTATTTTTGCTTAAACATCAATAAATTGTAAGAGTTTTATGTGGATCAATATTGCTTGGTGTTTTCATTACATTTTTTATAAATTGCTTAGCTGAAGTCTTAAAAAAAATTAAATAAATAACTAAAAGCCTCACACCATTATCCCTTTCTAACACATCTTTTTAATGGGCACTATGCATTTCAACAGGTAGAGTTCTTCTGGCACCTGCTACCACCCGATTCTTAGTCTAGATTCCCTGATAGGGAAGCATAGTTAATCATTAAAGAGAACATTGGTTCAGTGGTTGTCTCCAACTGACACTTGTCATTGCTCATATTGATGTTAGGCTTATGTAGAGCTGTTCAGCCATGGAAACTGATTTTATAAAGATCTTCATGCACAGTTTTTGCACTGATGTTGCTTTCAGATGCAGTCTGGAACTTTGCAGTGAGAAGGGATGTTACATGCTCTGAGCATGGTGCTACCACACTGAGTATGCATAATCTACCACTTGGTGTTTGGGCTGCTACTCAAATGCTTCAGCTTTACAATAATCGCACTTACATTTGTCACACGTCGTTGTCACATTTTAAACTTACTGCAAATTTTTTATTTTTTTATTTATATAAAGCTATATTTATAAAATAGAGATACATATATGTATTTATAATTTCATTCTAAATGTATTTTGAATTTAATATATATGTATATTAATATCAAAATACAGTTAGAACAAATAAAAACAGGTGTGTGTGTGTATATATATATATATATATATATATATATATATATATATATATATATATATATATATATATATATATATATATAATTTTTAATTTCTTACATTAAAAAAAATTAAATTTATTTATAAAAGACCCAAGGATCGCGACCGCCGTCAGGGGAACGTCGGGGACCCAGTAAGTCCAAAGGACAGCAGGGACGTTCTATGCCGCCTGTCGGCATTTAGGACTGCCCTAAAAAGGACAGTATAGAACACTCGCCGTCCTTAAGGGGTTAAAACTGCTTCATTAAGCTGAAGTTGTTTTGGTGACTAGTGTTCCTTTAAGGTAGAATAGGCTTTTTCAACTGTATGATTTTTGTGTAGGACTTTTCTCCTCTCTTCTCCATTGATCTCTACTCAAGGACATTTATTTTTTACCTCTACATACCTGCTTTATGTTTTACTCTCCAGAATGATCATTTACTTTACCTACTGATTCGTTCTTATAAGTGGTTTTAATAAATGCATTGTATTCCACTGATTTATACTGCACACATATGTATTGAGAGAAAAAAAAAAAACTTGTGTCTGCACCACATGGTTTTAACACTCAGGTGCCACATTCAAGCCCATGCATTTCAATCTTCAAATTGTACAGTCTCACCTCTGCTATAGAAAAATAATTTTGATTTTCAAATGCTGATCACTACACTACTCACTATACAGCCTCTTTGATCATCCATAAACTTGGATTGCTTTGTCTCTTCTTATGATTTTACCCTCCACACTACATCTCTAATGTCTATATCATCACTCACTCTAGGAGCACCACACTCTACCTCCAGTATCACTGGTTACATTACAAGTGGTACAAAAACACCATTTGTCTGTAACAATTGTTCCCACTCTTCTATAGATATGTCCCCATTCTTCACAAACTACATTTGTACACATTTTTTGCTGGAATTCGATCAGGCACCTACCTAACCTTTATATAGTGCCAATTATGCACTTCACCTGCATTTCCCTTTAACCCTAAACTACCCGCTAATGCAAGTGGTATCAGTGCCACATCACCTGTGCTAACCTTGGCTTGTCTTTGAATTTCCCCTTGATGCCATGTCTAGTTCTCTTGTGAGTGCATAATTCTAGAGAGCTTGTTTCATCTGAGTTGTGATGTCTTTGAATATTTACTTAAAACAAATAGGACATGAAAAGAAGAGCAGAAGAGAAAAATATAGACTTAAATCATATCTTGAAAGATCCAAAGACTTCCATATATTCTGTGTTTATGGGAGAGGCCATCTGTGTTTTTAATGCAGTATTCCTTATGACAGCTTAACAATGAAAATACATTGTAATAAAAATGGGAGTGAATGAGTGCGCAAGGATTGCACATTTCTTGGTCGGGATATTTTAAATGGTTACTATAGCTTTACATTTTTTTTTATTGGGTGCTATTTATATTGTCCCTCATTTAATTAAAACATTATTTTTTTTCCTACTTACTGTAATTTTCTTTTCCTCACTTATTCATGGCAGCATCACTTATGGGTTAGCTCTGCCCCCAACAGGAACAGGACAGGAAACAATTAACTAATTAGCACCAGACTGTAGGCATAACAGGTCCCTCCTTTCTCTATCCCACAGTCTAGTTTAAAGCTGAAGAACAAGGGAGGGCTGCTAATGCTGCCATGAATAATTGCCAGGAAAAGAAAATTACGGTAAGTATGGAAAAATAATTCTGTATTCCTGGCTAATCATGGCAGCATCACTTATGGGTAATATCCAAGCTAAGAACAATGGGAGGGAGAAAAAACATATACTTATAGTCTGTTGTAACAATATTTTATTCTAACAGGATAAAACTCCTCTCACAAAGGAAGTAGATGAAGAGGCTACATCTAGCTTGTAGTGTTTGATGAAAGTCATTGGAGAAGGTGGCTGCCCTGCATATGTCATCCGATGAAACCTCTGCCCAAGAAGCCCAGGAGGTAGACAGTGCTCTATTTGAATCTTTATTTTCTCTGGAAGAGAGAGGTTTTTTAACATGATAAGCATTCTTTATGGTGTTTGAGATCCAACGCCTCAAAGTAGCAGTAGAAGGAGCTTCACCTTTTCTGTAGCCAGATGGAAGAATGAATAAATGTTGTGATTTTCAAAACCGATTAGTGACCTCCAGATATTTAATCAGACATTCCTTAACATCCAATTGATGGCGCTTAAATTATTTTGAGGAGGAAGGGTTTGGATAAAAGGAAGGCAGGACAACTTCCTGTGAAATGTGGAATCGTGAAACCACCTTAGGTAGGAATTGTAGATTATGCTAGCTTTAGTGTACCTATAATCTTAATTTTATTAATGACAGGAGGCGAGTATTTGCCTTAGTCTCTCTTTACTAGAACTCCACAGCAGCACAGAAAAACAACCAATCAGAAAAAAGTTAGGTACTATAAAACGCCCCTCCCCATGCATTGTTTCCTCTTTCAAGCTGCGACAAAAACAGAACAAAAGGCAGAAAAAATATAATGGGGAAGAAACTAAGTCTTAGATACGATGAATACAGCAATGTCCACCATCCGAGAAGAACTGCCAAACCAGCTAGTGTCGATGGACTGTAAACTGAAACGAGAGAAAAACAATCGAACAGGTTGATTATCCAATTAAATGTACTTTGAACAACATGTAGGTACCCAATGTAGCAACCAAAAATTACTGTAACCTGCATAGATCCCAACCCTACTTATGAAAAACAGATATAAGAACAAGTGACAGGTAGCAGAGACAACAAGCAGAGTTGCATACGTACCTGATGAACCCAAACTATAAACTAAACAAGGGAGGGATAAGAACGGGTGGGAAATACTCGCCTCCTATCATTAACAAAATTAAGATTATATGTACACTAAAGCTAGCATAATCTACAATTTTATAACATTACAGGAGGCTTGTAACACTCAACCAACAATCCAACGCTGTTTGTTTCACTGGTACCTATTCTGTGAGATGTAAGAGCCATCCTAAATGGAGCTTCCAACTGTGAGAAGTGTCAGTATATGGATTAATGAAGATGCCAGCTGTCAAGGCACCCCAAAATACGGAAAAGAACACCATCCGCCTGGTAGATCCCTTGTACATTGTATTGCGACCGGTTTCCTAGCAGCCGGTCCATGAGCTGTAAAGCTGACCTATTAGCTATTTACCTGTAGGTGTAAACTGCCAAAGGTCATTTGCGGACTTAGGGTCACGAGAAGAAAGGCTGCTGGAAGTTGGCTCCACTGGTTGTGCCAGGGCCACCAGGCGATGCGGCCTTGCCGGCAAATCTCCAAACTCAAGTAATGCGTCTAAGTCTACCACCAATTCCGGTCATAGAACCGAGTAAGGTCTTTCCGTTCCCTCCTGGCCTACCCGGTGATTTGTTTCATCCGAAAATAAATTATGCAGGCACGAGTTCGGTCAAACTAGCCGTATCCTAAGTTATTCCAGAATTCCAAACTGCGGTAGAGGAGGAACTCTCAAGGGACGTCCAAAGAGGGTCCCAAACCGAACTCGTGTAGTGAAGCGGTGGGCGACTACTCCGGAGATTGTGAATCCCGGAAATATTCAAAAGGAGGGGAACGTAACCGGGTTTGAGATTACCATCCAGATATATCATCGTCTAAGAGTGACCAGATATCCGGATCCAACGGTAATCGGACCTGTAAAACAAAGAAGAGTCCTCACTTGCTGTAGTGAGAGAGTGTAATAATCCGATTACATGTGTCTACAATCTTGTTCCATTCCCGACCTGTCAAAAATCTGTGTAAGAGTTCCCGGTCTGCACGCCACCTACAAGATAGGGCATAGTATAGTGAGACCCGAAGTCGAGGCATCCTTGTAGAGGAATACCTCCCTTCTTAGCCTGGAGTTCTACGAACACCTAGCGTTCCCTAATACGCAGGCAAGACGTAAAGTCCCTTCACTCATGACAGGAGACTCCAGAGATCAGGTCTAACGAAAACAAAGGTCTAGCTTCAACCGTCCGAAGCAGGTGTTGTCCAGTTTGAGAATGTCGGCAGTCGTCTCAGAGTCTGCTACACATCCTGAACAGTCCTCCAGCTATAGGTTGTGTCCCCGACATGTGATGTCCATATAGGAGTCGGAGACACACAGGGTTCCATCCTAGAGTCCAAGTAGGTCTTGTTGATGGTAGCAGAATAGGTGGGTTAGCGAGAAACCAAACCAACATAGTTCTAGGGTATAGGAGGAGAGCCCTTCCATATCCGAATCATGTTCTCCAGATATGTTCACAGAGGAGTAGAGACAGTCCTGTCCACTCATCCCAAGATTGTTAATAACCGGGGAACCCAAATCTATCGAGGATACCGGTCCTTCCACACGATCCAT